GCCTTGAATGACATGAAGTTAGCAATCGAAGAGACGAGTGAGCGCTCCTCCGAGCAATCCAGCAAGGAAGACTTCACTCTTATCGAGCTGATGCTGAAGGATGTCCAGAGCAGCATGGAAGAGTTCAAGGTGAAGCTGGACGGGGCCAAGAACGACGACGAGTCCGGCCTGGTCAAAGCTGATCTGCAAGTTGTCGAATCGCTGGTTTTGGACATCAAAGGTCAAGTTGAAAACATCAAACTCCCGGATGTCGGGGCTCTATTGAGCAAAGAGGACATCACCGATGTTAAGAATGACCTCAAGTCGTTCCGTGAGCAGTTTGAGGCCGACAACGGGCTTACTGCGCAGGCTTTTGAAGCTCGTAAGATCGAGCACGGAGGCCTGGCGACAAAGATTGACGACGTCAAGAATGTCATCGGCGATCTCAGGGATGAGCTCGTGGGCAAGGTGGAAGGAAGTGCGGAAGGGATTGTCGAGTTGAACAAAGTGCTTGGGATGCATCACGACGACATGACCAAGTACGCCACAGCTGCCAGCATTGAGGAGATGTCGAGTGTACTCAAAACTGAACTGGAAAAGCACATGGAACATCAGTCCACCATCAAGGCGGAGATGGAAGAGAGAGACGCCACGTTGTTTACCAAGCACGAAGAGACAGGCGCGGAACTCAAGTCTGTAATCGAAGAGAAATTCGATACGCTGATGGCCAAGTATGACGATGCTCAGCAGGCGAGCGAAGCGAAGTTGACCGCCCTGGAGGACCGAGATGCCGCGCATCTGGAAGCAACAACAGGGACCAAGGCTATTGTGGACGATCTCAAGTCGCTCATGGACACTCTCGGATCCACAATCACGGAGACCTGTGACCGTGTTTCGGAAGATTCGAAGACTGTTTTCGGCTCCATCGAAGAGACCAACTCCAAGGTCGACAGCCTCCGCAGTGCCAACGCCTTCGAACATGGCGTGACCCGCGAGGAGGTCGCCAAAGCAGTGGCTGCCGCCATCAAGCTGGAAGAGACCATCGCAGATAATCAGCCGGCAGTACTAGCTGCAATTCGTGAAGTTCTCGGGGTGGTGACACAACACTACGAGCACTCTCAGCAACAAACCGAGAGCTTTACTCGAGCGACCGAAGAGATCAAGTCTGGTGTCGAGTCCATTCCTGCAGCCATCCCACCTCTGTTGCCAGCCCTGCCCGCAGCTCCATCTGAGACAGTTCAAGAACCGATCCCACCACCAGAGAAGTACGATGATAGCGAGCTGCACGACAAGTTAGACACACTTTTGTCTCATGCCGACTTTGCAAAGGAAGTGTTCGCCGGAGTTCAGAACACTCAGAAGGAGACCCAGGAATCCTTGGCTAGCCTGTCGAAACTCGACCAAGTGCATGAACAAGTGCTGTCGACAGCAGCGGAGGTTGCAAGCATGGTCTCGACACAAGCAAGACTGATGGGCGAGCACCATGACTCAAAGGTTGCAGAAGCTACCGAAGCCGCGATTGCCCTGGAGAAGAGAAATGCACAGAAGGAGAAGGTCGAAGCGGATATCGTGGCCCTCAATGCCGAGAAAAATGCACTTGCTGAGTCAATGGCAGCCATGAAGAGAGAACAAGAGGAGTTGATCGCTCAGACCAAGAGGCTAACTCGAGATGTGGCCAAGCTGGAGACGGCTCTTCAGATTCGACAAGAGGAAATGCGTGACATGAATAGCAGAGCAGAAGTCCTGGAACGGCGCATCCTCGAAGGTCTCGTCAACCAAGCACGCGCGGTGAAAACCTCTTCAAGATCCATCAACAAGCCGAAAATCACGCCAGCCGAGCGTGATGCATCCATGAGCCTGAAGCGGGTTCCCAGCACGACCAGCACGGCAACAGCGCGGATTTCTACCCGGGGCGGAAGTTCAGCGATTGGCAGCGCGGTCGGCACGGCCCTCAAGAAAAGGACTCCGCTAACATCGAACGTCAAGGTATCTTCGACTCCAAGGACGTCTGTGGTGGACAGGCGGATTCTCAGCACGAGCCATGTGACAGGCAATCGGGGGCGAAACACCCCAGACATGGCGCTAATGTTGGCTCCTGCGCCCAAGTCGACCGGTCTTGTTAGTCTCAAGCGAAGCCAATCGGTCAAGAGCAATCCAAGTAGCTATGTCAATGGGAGAAAGGCCAGCTGGAATGGTGTCCCCACTGAGCTCACGGACAAGGAGAACTTCAGCGCCGAGCACGAGAACAGCGACGACTGCCACAGCGATGCAGATACGGAAAGAAGAACCAGCAACGGGACCAGCTACATGTACACTGACAGCATGCTTTACGGGACCGGAAGTAGCTTGAGTCGCGACAGCAGACTATCGACGGGTACCAGCTGTGACAGCAGTGTTGTCGGGACGATCAACGGGCAGACTGAAAGCATTGCTGAAGAGGACGAAGAACCTGAGGCGGATGAAGAGACCGAGACTGCCATGGTCCTGCATGATGGTGCGGCAGCGGCAGATCAAGTCAACGGAGGTCAGGACAACTCCATGGCCATGACGAGCCTCGATGGACTGGAGACTCCCCACATCGACGCTGACGCATTATCGGAGCTTCAACCTCCCCCACTCATGACGGATGAAGGGCTCAAGTATCATGGTAGTGACAGCGGTCTGGGAACAGAACCACTGACAGCCGGGAGTGAGCCACACCCCGTGGGAGAGGCAATGGAGTATTTCCAGATGACGGCACAGGACATGCAGACCTAAGACATGATGAGATGGACAGGTGGGCGTTTGGGTGTTTGTTCTCCCCGGGCAGTGAAGCGTTCAGCGAGTTCAAGAGATGAAGAATGAGTGGGTTATGCCTCACAATAGGATAGCAAAAACGAGAATTGTCGGTAAAGCGGCCAGAACCATCCAGCCAATAACAATGAAGCTTGGCAGGCGGCATGTGACGTCTTCCCCTTTCCGGATTTGTGGATTTCGGATGCGCGATGCCCCAACATTTTGTTTCGGCGTCGCCTGCTGGGTGCGTCATTCCTGTCTTGTCTTTGCCGTCGCTTGTTGCTCGATCGTTGCTCCTCGCGTCGATCATTTCACTGCCTAACGATCATTGAATTGTGACAGTCGGCGGTATCCCTATCCTACTCTCATCGACCACCTGCGCATCCTGGAGGACAGCAGCAGCAGAGATGCTCGACCCCCTACCCCCTCCGCCTCCGTGGCTTGTCAACTGGGTCAAACCCTATAGCGAGGCTCTATACCTGCCTTCACTACCATACCATATCCACGAAGTACTGGGTGCCTTCGTGCTATACCAGACCACACAGTCCATCATCTCCCCTATGCTCTCGAATATCCTCTTCCCGCACATCTATCCGAAGCTCAATCGACGAACACGTATTAATTGGGACGTTCACGTGGTTTCATTACTCCAATCGATCCTCATCAACTCGGCAGCGTTGTGGGTCATGTTCACGGACAAAGAGCGCAAGGACATGAACAGCAGTGCGGTGGAAAGAATATACGGCTACACAGGGGCGTCAGGGCTCATTCAGGCGCTGGCCACGGGCTACTTCGTCTGGGACCTGGTCGTGAGCGCCCGCTACCTCAAGATCTTTGGGCCGGGCATTCTTGCTCATGCCGTTACCGCTCTGGCTGTGTTCGCCTTGGGATTCGTGAGTTTTCCGCATCTGCCGCGTTGAGACTCGGGGCTAACTGATCCACCCAGCGACCGTTCTGCAACTACTACGGCCCAGTTTTCATTCTGTATGAACTGTCGACACCATTCCTCAATGTCCACTGGTTCTGCGACAAGCTCAACATGACAGGCGGCAAGCTCCAATGGTACAACGGAATGCTGCTCCTGTCCGTCTTCTTTAGCTGTCGCCTAATCTGGGGTACTTACCAGTCGCTTCGCGTCTATCAGGACGTCTGGCACACCATGCACCTGAATATCCAGTCTGGCCCTGTGCTCCGAGAGATTCGAGAATCGCCACATTCCTCGATCTTCATTCCCAGGGACGGTCAACTATGCCTGGGCGACGCAAGCTGTATCTCGGCACAATCTGAGGTCATGAAATTCACTGGTTCACAGACGCTTGCGATCCCGTTCTGGTTGGCTCTTGTGTATCTGACCTGTAATCTGGTGTTGAATACGTTGAACTGGTACTGGTTTGGCAAAATGATTGAGACCGTACGCAAGAGGTTTGAGGGGAAACCCCACGACGAATTTCCTCGCGAGCGGCAGCGAAAGCAAAGCATGGTGGAGCTGGCGGCGAGCGAGCTCGATTATGACACGCTTTCTGGACCGAAGACTCCGTACGACGAGAAGGAGGATGAAATTGCAAGGGCTCCTGCACGTTCCAAGGACAATGAGTTTGCTAAGGGCACCGACTTTGCGAAAAGCACTGCGGTTCAAGACGGGAACCACGAGGTTAAGAAGCGATAGGACCATGAACCCTCTCACGTATGGGAAGGTAAACTTGTTCGAAACTGCGAACCTCAAGCTTTTGTCCGGCTCATGTTCTGGAAGTGGCTCTTGTACACTATCAATCATCGTCAGCCAACATCGGTTGACAATTTCCTTACCAGCAATTTGATGCCGGCAGGAGTGATGTTATTATTCCTTCACCCACGGTCTTTTACTGGCGGCATCCTCGAGTCATTGCTTTCACTGCATCATTGCCCTGGGGTCGATTCACCACAACCGTCCACCTCTCCTTATTGGGAATCCAGTCATTCACCATGCTACGGCCTCCGACAGTGACCAAGAGCACTGCCTGTCACTACATCTGACAGTAAATATCGGAGCACTCCTTGTCACTCCTGACAGTGAAGATGAGCACACTTATCCTCACTGCCTAGTTACAGGCACCGTCACGGCCTATATATTCGTCTGTTGACACCTTGCTTTCCTGACTTTGCCTCGTCACCATCATCTCATCATCTCATCATCTCGTCCCCTTTCTCCAGCCAGACTGCATTTCACCACCTGAGCCCTTCGATAAGCAACGACAACAATCGTCAAGATGCGTGCTTTTTTCAGTATCTCTGCTGTCCTTGCTGGAGTGGTGACTCTCGCTACTGCTTTTCCACCATTCGTACCGCACCATCCACTGAGATCCAATGGCTCTTCCATCCAGGTTGCTGCACCTACCGGCTGGCCGAACATCTCGTTCTCTGCGCCTTGCAAGACTACAAGTCATAGTCCCGACTCGATCTTGACCATCACTGAGGCTCAAACCTTGAGCAGCACGCCAGATGTCCCTGTCTCCAACACTGTCTCCGCGAGCACCATCTCCTCAACCCCAGAGCCGATCTTCACAGCTGTTTTCCCTTCGATGATCAGCACTGAGCCCGCTCCATCCACAGATGGCTTTCCCTCTATCATCAGCACCGAGCCTGTTCCATCCACAGAAGTCTTTCCTTCGATAGTCAGCATCGAGCCCGCTCCGTCCACAGATGGCTTCCCCTCGATCATCACCACCGAGCCCACTCCCTCCATCGCAATCACTGCAACTCCGCTGCTTTCATCCATCTTCAGTCATGTCTCGTCGCTGCTGGGCAATCCCACCACCGAGACTCCACCTCCACCCACGACCCTCTTGACCAGCACCGTCAACTTCACCGTTAGCGCGACCGTCAGCGTCATTGCCACGCCTGTCGAATCCGTTCTCTCCCAGGTGTCTTCGGTCCTAAGCGCCGTCTCTTCCGAGATCGCGGCCACCTCCATGGCCGACTCCACACCTGCGACAAGTCTTGCCACGCCGACCGGTCTTAACAACAAGATGGTCGTCCCCACTGGAGGATGGTAGTCTCTGCGAGTGCAGCATCCGCAAAGGCGAGGCCAAGGTCTGCATCCGTGACTGCGAGTGCTGCAATGAAGGCGACGTTGAGGTAAGTCCCAAGTCTGTCCTTTCCATACGCGCGCAGCGAACGCCATCCGAGAGAATGACTAGCTAATATCCGTAATTGTGACAGTCGTGCTGCAAAGGCCTTGAAAAGTGAGAAGTGAGCACCGGGTTATGCAGTCAGACAGTCAGACAGTCTTCCTCTTGGTGGTGGAACGAGTCCTGGTAGGGGAGCGTTGGCTACCAGACCTCTCCTGCTGCTGCTGGTGCCGCCGCGCACTTGAGAGATCGCACACATTGGTGTGTTCTGTCCGGATATTCCCCTTTTTTCTTATTTCCTTCTCCTGCATACAAGTTCGCTTGCTTAAGATTCATTCGAGATGTCAAGGCGGCGGTGGAAAGCCGGTCATCGAAGGAAACAGACACCGCGAAATCAGGAATTCGGATTGTATTGCAGATTCATTCGGACGAAGTCAAATCAAATTGAAGTTGACGAACCGGAAAGGAACCGAATCAAATAGAGTACTTGACTCTGACTTGACCTGACTTGGGAATGACTGCGCCTTCATCTTCACCCTTTGCCATTGGTCATCATTGTCTTGTCCGTGTCTCTTTTCAGGCTGTCGTCCGTGTCCACTATGCTTTGTGCTTCAATGTCCAGTGTGACTCTATGGTGAGGTTGCCCATCGGGCATCGCGCGCAGAGAAGGGCTTGGTCGGTACCTACACGGGTAATCTTTACTCAATGCTTGTTTCTGGATTGGGTGAGACGGTTACGGTCCCAAGAAGCTGTCCTCGGTGAGTGTCTGATGTCCAGGCCAGAATATGTCGAACAGATGCGCAGTGCTCAGAATTTCCTGTACACAACGTTTACTCCGTAGTTTGTGTCGGGCTGTATTGGAACTTCCGGGTACAGTGTAGAAGGCGGATGCTGATAACTACGCTAACCTAGATCGGTATTGGCGGCTTCGAATACGCGGAGAACGTTGGAGTCGCCTCTTCCTTCCCTCGCACGCGGCAGGACTTGCCCGTAACTGGAAGGACCGTTGCACCTCGCAACGCTTAGCTAGTGGTCGGGGCGAAACTCCGGAGTACGGAGTACTTGCACTGTGATCAGCGCGCCCCATGCTAACGGTCATGTTGCAGCGTGTGCAGCCTCAACTCCGGGTTGCTCGTACGAGTCACCAATGAGAAATAGCCATATCCAACGAGCCCACCAAGGACTATGCGTATAGGTCGCGTCGTCTAACGTCGTGTCTCATATGGTGTTACCGGGTTAATGGATTCAGCGGAGTCATGAACAAAGCGGTTGGCAGGCTCAAGGCTTTCCGCCACGCTCTGGTCCTGTAGCTCATCAGGTCTCCGAGGCGACCCTCCAGGCTTCAATCGCGATAGTAGGCTTCCGTGCCAACTCTCGCGCTCTCCCAGCTTCGTTGTTGCAGCTCGGTTTGAGTAGGAGATTGTCTTTTCTCCCAGGCGCTCATCGCTCCGCAGAATGCATCATATTCTTGGCTTCGATATCTGGAGATTAGCTACGCGAGGAGTAGGACGTCTGCAATGTCAGATACTGCAGCAAACCAAAGAATCGAGATCGGGCTCGTTCTCCAGAAGGAGGGCTCTCGTGAAAAAGCAATGCCGCGCGGTTGAAGAGCGCAAGGCTAATACCCGCGAACTCCCTGGCACGGTGTTTGCGAACAGAGATGCCATCCGAGAAGCACTAACCCAGGACTTGGGCTCTCATCCAGAGGTGGCCACTGGCATGATTAAAGCCCTCGGTGTGGCTAGGAGCCGTATGGATCTGTGCTCGCTCAGCTCGACAGGTGGATAGCTATTGACTACACAGTCCAGGAGACTTACCCTCATATGTATGCACATGCCATGGGGGCGCTTTGCTATCGTACAAAGGAGCCGATGGGTAGGTCGCCGCTTTCGTCCTCCTCCCAAGACCTTGGTTCGAACAGTGTATTCCGTACTGTAGCATGGAATTTGCCTCTTGATCTGTCATGGGGCCCGCTTTGCAAGATGCTTGCGGATGGATGGGTATCGGCTTACCATAAAACCCTGCGGGTATACCCCTGCGACTGGCGCGCTTCTGGCTACAATGATCAAAGACACGGACTGTATCCCGAGGACTGGGTCACTGTAGTACACGACAACCTTGAGGTCTCCAGACTAGTTTCGTAACTCAAATCCAATCATTCCCTATACGCGTGCGAGCCAGCGGTCGGCAAGCTCGTGACGGGGGAAGCTGCGAAGAAGCCAGTACCTGTAACGCTTGAAGACTCGATGAGAAATGGCCCAGAGGTTATACAGAGGAGGCTCAGATAACGACGAGAACGTTGAGGCCATCTTAGGGACCAAGTGGTTCGAAGAATGGTCAAATGTGCATTTCGGTGGGCCAGATCTTATGCCCTCTGGCTGAGGTGTCCGCATTCACCCATGCTGCAGCGAACTTGTTCAACTGGAAGCTAAACGACTACGCTTCATACCCGGACACCACCGCCATTATATCCCAGCGCCATGTCCATCGCACTTACAGGTTCGTAGGCAAGGCTGAAAGAGCTGGCGTCCATCAACCAATCTCGGAGCTGAGATACTGGACTAAACGACAATGACAAGCAACATCTTCCGTTGACGTGCCTCGCCGATCCGCCGCAAGATCTAGCATTCACGCAAGAGGAGATACTCCGATCGGTGTTGCCCGTTCTCCTATATGATGACCTCGAAACCGCCATGACCTCCTTGAGCTGGACGCTTCTTCTCCAGCGCCGCTGATCATATGCCGATGCATGGTCGCCGAAACATAGAATCAGTTGCTTAAATTCCCTTGTTTATCGTTCACCTGCATAGGTATTCTCTCATCCTCATTTTGGATGCTGTCGCTCCTGTCCTTGTCGCTGTGACACCCGTCTCCCGCTCGAGGACGATAGCCCTGCGCTGTAATCATCACCTCGTCCACGATTCACAGAAAAGTCCACAGAGACACATTAAAGTTCAACAAATCTGAGGCACGCGCCGGGTTTTCTGCCGACTTTCTCCAAGAATGAATGGGCACTCACCGAAGCCAACTAGAGCCTTTCAGGCAAGCCGCCACAAAAATGGGTTCTTTCCGGGTTCCAACTGCCTACCTGGGTACGGTATCCCCTCGTCAAGCTGGTGCATGAACAGCCCGCCTCGTGCGGAGGCACACGCCGGTGGGATGGTCACCTGCTGATGGGTCCCTATGCCACGACGGGGTTCTCTAGCCCAGGTTGACTGAGAATGCTTGACGACGTGCTCGAGGGTTTGTGGAGGAGGCGCTCATAGGCCGGGAGCTCCATGTGGGAGCAGCATGTCGTTGCTGCAGTCTGGTTCGCGGATCCGACTTCATTACATACGTTTTTGTCTGGTTCATCGTGGCGATTGTCAACCTCACATCCAATCTTGTCTTACGGTCGCGACTGTGTTCTCGGAAACAGGTCGCTTCCACAACAATCTGTTGTTCTTGCCTTGAGAAACGCATTCGAGATCCGATTCCGAAGGCTAGGTTCCTTACATTCTAGACTTCTCAGAGCCCTGTCCTTTGTCGGTTGAACCATCTCCCAGCTGGGAGGCTTCTACGAAAGTTCATTTCGCACAGACGCGAATAGCACAACCTATCTCTTAAAAGACATCTTCTTCATGGAATCTTCCTCTGAGCAACAAAAACAGCCGACCCCTTTTCCTCATGGCGCATTTCTCCCCAACGGTCATCAGACCGACCCAGCACTCCCTCCTGGCCACCCTACAGTCGGCTACAAGTTGAACCACTTCATGCTTCGTATCCGTGATCCCGCCAAATCAATACCATTTTATGTCGACCTGATGGGCATGAGGACTGTCTTCACCATGAATGTCGGTCCCTTCACAATCTACTACCTCGGATATCCTCAAACCGACGAGCATCGGGCGGACCTTGCCAAATTTGGCGCCGACACGGCTGGCAATCTGCAACATACCCTTGGGCTGTTGGAACTGTATCATGTCCATGGATCCGAGAAGCAGGAACCCGGCTATTACTCCACGGGCAATGAACCAGGTCATCTAGGATTCGGCCACCTGGGATTCACAGTGCCGAATGTCCCTAAGGCGTTGCAACGATTGAAGGACGCGGGCGTCGAAGTGGTAAAGGACCTCGGCGTTTGTACCAGACAGTCGATCCCGATCACTGATTGGGAAAATGAGCAAGGAGTCGGCGTGGAGGTGAAAGGCACCGAAAGTGAAATCCACCCAGAATATGCGAAAGTATTCAACAAGATTGCGTTTGTAAAGGATCCGGTGAGTGATATCATGTCCTTGTCCTACCTTTGCTGAACCTTGACCCTGGAGCTGACATATGGGTGGCAGGATGGGTATATCGTTGAGCTCGTTCCGCAGAACATGGATCCCATGGATCCGTGATGCTTGACCGCTGGGCCCGAGCAGCTGTCACGGTTCCTCAGGGACAACTGAAAGTAGACAGGCTTTGGAAGGCAGGGTCACATAAATATACCACCCTCAGAGGACTTGTTGGCAACTTGCATGTCATCGTCGCTTGTACCGGACCCTCTAGTCCATTTGTTAACTCCCCCCTCCATCCGGACCATGGCATTTGAGGGCCCCAGACGAGCCTAGAAACCAGCAAGACTCGCACGTGCTGGCTTTTTTCATCAATAGCATCCTGCATTGTGTCAAGCCTAGGGCGGGTGACAGCCGAGTCCTGCTGGGAGGTATTGACTAGTGTGAAAATCCGTTGCTAGAGCCCCTGATAAAACTGCAAAGCCTTTGTTCCAGTGTCCATCACGCATCTTTGCTTGGGCAGACGAATCAAAACCACAAGCTCAGGCCTGACAATTGACAATGAATCGAGATGCGTACCCCATGCTACACTCCACCGTAACACGGGGACTACGGTGGATGTCTTCTGACGCGACGTTGCGCGACGAGAAATCAGAGGCTGAAATGAAGCTCAACTCACTTCGTTCTCGATGCTTAATTACTGCACCAAGTTGGTTCTTCTCAACCTCTCATGCTACCCAGTGTCTCAATCGTACAGAGGGGAGAAGTCCGCCCATGATGTCGACTTTCGCCTACCGAACCCTGCTTCGCCTGCCATTTGAGCATATAGGCTGAATTCCTCTCTCCCCAAGTTTAGCCGATTCCTGATGTCACAACTACCGGGACCATCTTTCCATGTTCCTGTCGGCATTTGACGGCCGAAGGGCAGATCGTTTGCCTATTCTAGGGAATAGGTCGCTAGCCCTGTGGTCATGACCAATGAGAGCTACAGTCGACTCTACGGAGAAGCTCCTAGCTTCCTGTTCCTGGGGTATGGGGATGCATCAACCTCCAAGCTCAAAATGGAGGTGATGCTGCAAAGAGCCGGACGGGCTCGCACCCAGCTCGCCACTATATAACAGAGATGGAGTCGAAGCCCGTCTATGGGAGAGTCTTCAGCCAGCCTCTTCACAATAATGCGGTCTCTCCTTCTCTTCGCGGCTGTTGGCCTCGCTGCCGCAGAAACTGGTATCGATGGCTGGTTACGGTATGCACCTGTACCTAATGCCAATACGTCCAGTCTGCCGAAGACCATTGTCTCCCTTAATGCCACATCGAATGGCCCGGTACGTGCTGCCGCTGCTGAGCTACAACAAGGCCTTTCGGGCATCTTCAATCACAGTCTCAATGTGATCTATCCAACCAGCTACCAGCTTAGCGACACCGCCTCCTCCATTGTGGTCGGCACTGTTGCCGAGTACGCCAACGCATTCGGTGCTGCACCAAAGACTCCTCAACTCGAGGACGACGGGTACTTCCTCAATACGACAGGCTCCAGCGTTCAGATTCTCGGACGCAATGAACGAGGTGCTTTGTATGGCGCGTTCCAGTACCTGTCAATGTTAGCGCAAGGCAACTTCTCAGAGGTGGCATATGCTTCTAATCCGGACGCTCCTATACGATGGGTCAACCAATGGGTAAGCTATAGACATGGCGTCGTCTGGTCTTGGTATGAGCTGAGCTGACACGGATTCTTAGGACAACCTCGACGGATCCATTGAGCGAGGCTACGGCGGACCATCAATCTTCTTCTCCAATGGAACTGTCAAAGTCAACAGCCTCGATCGCATGACGCAGTACGCGCGCCTTTTGGCATCCATCGGTGTCAATGCCATTATTGTGAACAATGTCAACGCCAACGCATCGATTCTCACAACTCAGAACATAGAGGGAGTTGGAAAAATAGCCGACACCTTCCGCCCGTACGGTGTGCGAGTCGGCATTTCCCTCAACTTTGCGTCTCCCACAGCCAATCTGGTGTACGGCAATCTAAGCACGTTCGACCCGCTGGATCCTGAGGTTGTCGACTGGTGGCAGAATGTGACCGACACCCTCTACGCCCGCATACCTGATATGGCAGGATATCTGGTCAAAGCCAATTCGGAAGGCCAACCAGGTCCCTTGACGTACAACCGTACTCTGGCGGAGGGAGCGAACCTGTTTGCCAATGCCTTGCAACCTCATGGTGGCATTCTTGTCTTCCGAGCCTTCGTGTACGACAGCGTCCATCTGAACGAATCAGTCTGGACCCAAGACCGTGCAAATGCCGCTGTGGAGTTTTTCACCGGGCTGGATGGCAAATTTGCGGAAAACGCTCTTGTGCAAATCAAGTACGGCCCAATTGATTTCCAGGTCCGCGAGCCCGCGTCGCCTCTCTTCGCGTACCTACAGAACACGAGCACAGCAATCGAGCTGGAAGTTACACAGGAATACCTGGGCCAGCAAAACCATCTAGTCTACCTGCCCCCACTATGGAAAACAATCCTAGATTTCGACCTGCGAGCCAACCATACAAAGTCGCTCGTCCGCGACATCATCAGTGGTGAGCGCTTTAACCGACCCATGGGAGGCTACGCAGCAGTCGTCAACGTCGGCACCAACGACACCTGGCTAGGCAGCCATCTCTCCATGTCCAACCTGTATGGTTATGGCCGCCTGGCATGGGACCCCACCAGCGACCCTCAATCCATCCTCCAAGACTGGATCCGTCTAACGTTCGGTTCCGACCCGGCGGTCATGCGCGCCATCACAAATATGTCAATGGCTTCCTGGCCCGCGTACGAGAACTACACGGGCAACCTAGGCATCCAGACCCTCACAGACATTCTGTACACACACTACGGGCCCAACCCGCAGTCCCAGGACGGCAACCCTTGGGGCCAATGGACCCGTGCCGACAACGACTCCATCGGCATGGACAGGACCGTCGCCAACGGCACCGGCTTCGCCGGCCAATACCCCGACGAAGTCGCCGCCGTGTACGAGAACATCTCGACCACACCGGACAACCTGCTCCTCTGGTTCCACCACGTGAACTACACGACGCGGCTCAAGTCCGGCGAGACGGTCATCCAGCACTTCTACAACGCGCACTACGCCGGCGCCGAAACGGCCCAGACGTTTCCGACCCTGTGGGAAACCCTGAAGGGAAAGATCGACGCGCAGAGGTACAACGAGACGCTCTTCCGCCTGACGTATCAGGCGGGCCATTCAATCGTGTGGCGCGACGCGATCAACAACTTCTACCACAACCTCTCGGGCATTCCAGATGCCCAGAACCGGGTCGGCAACCACCCCCACCGGATCGAGGCCGAGACCATGAATCTGACAAACTACGAACCATACACCGTCTCGCCATTCGAGGCCGCAAGTAACGTCACCGCGATCGTGACCTCCGCGAACGCCACCACCGGCACCGCATCCACGACGCTGACCGTCCAGAACGGGACCTATAACGTTGCGGTCAACTATTACGACCTCTACGGCGGCAAGGCGCAGTATACCCTGACTATTGGCGGTCGTCAAGTCGGCAGCTGGGCGGGTAATCACGAGGACCGACTCGGAAACACACCAAGCGTAAGTATTTACATTTCTCCCTTCCCTTCCCCTCCCTTGTCCTTTTGTTGCGGTTTTTTGGTCACCGTCCCGAATTGCTTCGCAGAGGGCAGGCGCGAGTAAGGCGGCTTGAGTAAGACAGATAAGAAGCTGACGAAACATGACATAATATACAGATCTACCTCGACGGCCACTCCGCCACGAGAATCACCTTCCGCAACGTGACGATTCGGCGCGGCGATGTCCTGGAAGTTACAGGCAAGGCGGACGGCGTCGAGCCCGCGCCGCTGGATTATATCTCGGTGTTGCCCCTGGGGGTTGTGGACTAGCGGCCATAATACGTATTGGAACATGCCGCTGAATAGCACACACAGGCATGCAGTGGAAAGTTGGAGCTGAGCCACAGGCCGTGCGATAATAATACACTGTACGCCACACAATGCCATGCCATGCCGTGCCGTGCCATACTATTATACTGTACCCTATGCCAAGCCGTGTTGTGCCGTCTCGCAAAACGGCTACCATTGACGCTGGCAGTCACCTTCTAGGTGTAGGGTAATGATACGCGCTCGCTTAGATGGAAAAGAAAACTTTGACTCCGCCTTAAGTTCAGTCGACATTCGGTTTATTCATCCCTGGTCTATGCATACCTGGTAGGGAGGTACATACTCATGACGCCCTGACACCCTGACGCCCTCAGTAACCAGTACGCGTCACATTATACAACGCTGGTGGCAACTACAGCTCTCACACTTATCTAAATGCGCTTCCCGCATCACCTCGCTCAGCAATACTCCTACTCAGCGTGCCGGCGAATCTGCTGACTCTGTCTGCATCAAACTTGGCGGTCTCAATGGCCTGTAAGACATGCTTGACACCCACGCCGACCTCGTCCGAGCGGGTGATGTCCTTGATCTCGGCAATAGCCTTGGCGACCTCCCCGGCTTGGAACGTCTTCGATTCATTCATAATGTGTTCTAATTCGTCGTAGGTGCGGACATTCGCGACCGGGATGTCGCTGTTGAAGTGTCTCCAAAAGTCGAGTTGTTGCAGCACGGACCGTTCCGTGGCGGTCACGATGATCAGCAGGCTTCGACCCGGGGGAGGCGCCTTGCGCAAAAGGGCGACCAAGGACTTGAGGATGGGGTTGCTGAAGCGCGGCCCAATGGGCGTCCACTCGGTATATTCCTCTATATCGTCCAGGACAACGCAGGACATGGGCGATTTGTACGCGTCCATGAACACTTTGGACAGATATCCGATCTTTTGGGACTCGGACATTTCGAGCGTGTCTTTGTTGCTGATCAGTTTGATGAACGGGTAGCCGCTGTCGATGGCGATCTTCGCGGCCAGGGCGGTTTTGCCGCATCCGGGTGGACCGTGTAGACAGACGGAGAAGAGGGGTGTCGATTCCGGGTTCCGGACTTGTTCGACGAAGAGGTTGCCTTCTTCGAGCACATCTTTGATATATTGGCTGAAATGGATCACGCCACCACGGAGGCAGTAGGTAAGTTCTTCTTCAGAGACACCGAACGCCGGCTTGACTTCTTCCAATGCATTCTCGAAGTCTTGTTGCTTGACTTTCATGTCGGCGACGTCGTCTGTGATACCTGCCATGGTGCCAACTTTGATGTGCCGAGAAAAGGCAAATGAAGTGGCGGACTTGACCAACCCGGCGATTTCGGCGCCGGAGAAGTTCTTGGTCCTGTGCGCAAGGTCCGTCACGTCGACATCAGGGTCGAGGACATGGTTGACCCGCATCTTCTCGGTATGGATTTTAAGGATTTGAGCACGACCATGTTCGTCCGGAAGGGCGATTTCCATGTGTAATTCGAGGCGACCGGGGCGGAGGAGAGCATCGTCGATCATGTCTTTCCGATTCGTCATTCCGATCAGGAGGATATTGTTAAGTTGGTCGACGCCGTCGAGCTTCGAGAGGAGTTGGTTCACCACGCTGTCACCAACGCCGGTGCCGCCGCCGGCTCCACTGCCTCTTTGCTTGCATACCGCGTCAAGTTCATCAAAGATGATGATGTGCAGACCTGACTCGTCGCCTTTTTCTTTGTACTCTTTCTCGGCGTCTGCGAAGAGTTTGCGGATATTCTCCTCGGATTGACCGACGAATTTGTTCAAGACTTCGGGACCGTTGATGACTTTCGGCTCTCTGGCGTTGAGCATCTTTCCGATTTGTCGGGCGATCAAGGTCTTTCCCGTGCCAGGAGGACCATAGAGCAGAATCCCCTTGACGTGCTGAATGCCCAGTTTCTCGACCAGGCCAGGAGGAAACACTCTCGAAGCGAAGGCCCTTCGGAAAATAGTGACGAACTCAGAATCCAACCCGCCAATACCCATGTCTTCGAATTTGAAGTCAGGAGCAATAATCGAATTTGCGGCCGGTCGTCTCGATGAGGCCTTCAGATTAATCGGAGTCTTGCCATCCTTAAAGAAATTGATTTGGGTTTGGGGTGTCAAGATACCTCTGGCGTGAGGATCCGATGTCGTCGGGGCGGCCTTCTCACTCAAGTCGGCTAACTGGACGGTCTTGACTACCAAGTTCAAGGGAATGCTCTTGAGGTCCATGAGAAATCTCTGGCTTGGAGCGAACATCTGACTTTGGAACAGCTGCCTATCGTCAATGTGATGGTACCAAATCTGCTTCCAAAGGGGATTTTACCTTGATAATTTCTTTCGCCAAGTCATCCTGGTCGTAAGGCGTATCTGTCGTCTTTCTGGTACTAGCAAAGCCAACCTCGATATCCATAGCACCAATATATGCTTGTCCACCCTCAGTGAAGGGATCATATATCTCCGCTTGCAGCAGATCTGTCAATGCCACACCCATCCATGATCGCTGCGGTTCTGACAGGCCGATACTGCCTCGTGGGAATGGATCAAGAGGTCGTGCTGAGACAACGTACATGCCATTGATGAGCAGGAAGATGTCTGTGCCATCATATGCGGGAGGGAAGTCCTGGCTGGAGACCGCCACCAGATTGCGAAAGGTGTACGAGTTGTCGGGCGCTTTTGTAGGCTGTAGGGTCAACGCGCCTCCCTGCGATCTATGACCGCCCCCGCCTCTGCTAGGACTTTGGTGATGGCCCATCTGACGCGGAGGGGGCATATTTCTTGCCGGCAGACCAGGGTTGCCAAATCCTGATCGAGGTGAATCATATCCATTGTTCATAGGCGTGTCGTATCCGCCGGGAGGACCACCTGAGTAACCCGGGCGCGGGCCTCGGTTTGGACTAGGCTGTTGCCCATATGGATCGCGAGACTGGCCGCCAGAACCGCCAAATAGGTTGTTTCTATTCAGGAAGGACATGGCTGCGGAGTGGTAGAAGAGAGACCGCTTGGAGGGAGGCGAGCGGGTGTCGTAGGCGAAATAATGAGCGTGCTAGGTTAAAGACACCTTTCGCTAGAGCAAAGTCAACTGATACAGGCAGCTACGAGGTGTTAGCTCGTAGCGCAACTTCAAACAATGGTCTCAATTGCGCCGCCTGAACACAGCCCGCATTCGAAAGATGACATCCGCGAACCGATGTTTTGCCGATGCCTCAGCCTTACTTCACCTTCGTCTCAGCCTTGCCACTTCTAGACCCTCTCACAAGGTACCGCATAGTCGACGGTACTCAATATGCCGCTCCATTTACTGTCCAAGAAGTCTTGGAACGTCTACGCTCCGGCAAAAATCGAGCGGGTGAAGCGCGATGAAGCTGAAGCACGCCGCCAGGCAATTGAACAAGAAAAGCGCAGCCTACAGAACGAGGCGGATGATCGATTACAGCATCTGAAGCAGCATAGCACAAGAGATCGCAAGAGCTTGAAGCGAAAGCTAGCAGGCGAAGACGACACCGATCGCGATATCAGACTTGCTGCGGAGGGCACAAATCCTGCTTCGACTAGCGGCAAGCAAGATCACGGCTTAGCTTTAGACGCGAAGGGCCATATCTCTTTGATATCAACACCGCCTCAGAAGAAGTCTCGCGCACAAGAACAAGACAAAGATCCATACACGGTCTACCTCACAGACGCCACTGGTCGCGACCAAAATTCTAAACCCACATGGTACACTTCTCTCGAAGCTGAGCGAGAGAAATGGGGCGACGACAATCCGCGCAGGCAGCAACGAGAACTCGCACGCCTCAATGCGGACGATCCGCTTGCTGCTATGAAGAAGGGTGTCAAGGTTTTGCGTGAGAACGAGAAGGCAAGAAAGGATTGGATGGCGCAGCGTGAGCGGGACCTGGAAGAGGTGGAGCGACTGGCGAGGCAAGACAGGCACGACAAGAAGCACAAAAAGAGAAGAGGTCAGGAGGAAGATGACCTGGCCAGCCTCGAGGACTTCGACTTAGAGGATGGGTACACCAAAACGATAGCTTCGAGGGACAACCGCGACTCAGAGCACGAAGAAACCAACAGCCGGCAATCCCGTTACCACGGTCGAAGCCACCGCCATCGCCACGAGTCCCACTCTACACACAGAGCCCGGGATCATCACAACCGGCACCGACGATACGAAGAAGTTCAAGGCAAACGGCTCAGCCAAGGGCAAGGTGGCTGAAGCCTTATCTGCTAACCACGAACACTTATCCTGCAAGCTGCTACCCGGCGGAGTTCCCTTGCTATCTCGCAACGGCGTTAAAGAGCACTTCCAGGTCGGGCCTTATCTTCCATGATCACTGCAAGCATCGGAGGTCGTTTCTTGGAAGCACCTGCACAGTCGACACCTGGGAACTGTCCCGCCGGACTTAAGTCATCTCCGATTGGTGCTGTACCACCTTCTATAAGAGCATCTTGCCGTATCTCTAGGCCGTGAAGCTAAAAAGCCAGTGCCCATCAGGCATAGACCTCTTCAGCAAGATCGTCACGATGGCAAGCTCGAGAGTATCCCCAACCGCAGCCGACTTGCGCGAGAAGCTGATGCATGCTTCACACATTCTACATCACCACGATATCCTTGATGGATTCGGCCACATCTCAGTCCGCAACCCGGAGGACCCCAAGACATGCTTCCTGACAGGCACGGCTGCCGCATTGATCTCCTCACCAGAGGTTTTCACAGAATACCAGATCAGTGATGGCCAGCCTGTCAAAGATGGCGTTTTCGTATCCCCTTACTCGGAGCATCACATCCATGCGGCGATCCTGGCCAAATTCCCACGTGTGCACAGTGTCGTGCATAGCCATGCTCTAGATGTTCTCGCCTACACCGTGACATCGGGATCGGCAAACCAAGATCAGACGGCGACATCGACCTTGAGACCAATCATCCACAAGACCGGGTTCCTTGGGGAATCCGTGCCAGTGTGGGATATTGCTAGTGCGTACACTTCTGAACACGAGCGACAGAAACGGCATTTGCTGGTGAATGACTACTATCTCGGCGAGAGCCTGGCAGCGGCCGCGGCCAAGCCCTCCGGACAATATCCCTACCACAAAGTTGTCCTGCAACGTGGCCATGGCTTTGTGGCTCTTGGTGACTCAATTGAAGAAGCTGTTTATAACGCCATTTACACGGTCGAGAACGCTCGTGTGCAAGCTCAAGCCGAGCAGAGAAGCAATGTTCACTCCCATCAACCCATCCATTTTCTGAGCCCGGAGGAAATTGAGGCCTGCGCAACAATGGATCGGGCCTGTATCACGAAGGTGTGGCCATTGTGGATGGCTGAGATCAGGCGGAATCCGTTGTGGCAATGACAATCTGTCTATTCTGTCCAGGCGCTAATCAAACTTACTCTCTAGCCGACCCTGTTGGATTCCCACCTTCTCATGGTGTGCAGTCAGCTTCTGTAGGAGCAAGGCAGCACGTGCACGAAGATGCACATGGTGAACCTGATCAAGAATCAACTCCAAAGCCATCACGATCGTTTTGTCAATACTGTCGTTCTCCGGCCCAGACCCTCTCGTTTGCTTCTCAACCACCAATCGTTCATATGCTTCTAGCAGGTGCCTGACGGCATTCGGAGTTGCCTGGTAGCTGAAAGTGCCGGCTTCACTTTCGGGCAGAAATGCCATACCAAGGTTGAAGCAAAGTTGCACACTCTTCTTGTATACATGGGACTCTCTTGTACTGCAGCTGCAATACCTCCGCATTGCCTTGTGCCAAGATTTGATGTAGAGTCGCTGCAGTCGAGCAGAGTGCTCTGTCTTGTCAGACGCAATATACCTCGAAATCGAGTCCAACAAGAGGTCCCTCGCGTGGATCAGCGATTCAACAGGCGGGATGGTGAGGTCTTCTGCACGAGCGACGATGGGCCCCTTGGTCAAAGTTCTCAGGAGGTCAACGTTGTCTTCGCAAATGGCCTTGGTGTATGATGCACTCAGTTGCAGCACCGAATTTAGCTGCGTTATCAGATCCAACGTGGACTTATCCATCTTGTCCGATGGCGCTTCGAGCTCCGAGAGCAGCCGTGACGCCGCCCGAACATGGATCTTTGCAGCAGAGTAATTTTTTTGCAACGTTTCAAACACCCAGGCGAGCATCGACGCAAGTGTCAAACAGAGTTTATCGGGTTGTTTCGCCATCGCCATGCCCTGGATCGCAGCATGATAGTGCCAGATTGCCGTGGGGCTGAGATCTGATGATGTTGCCGTGCGATACAGACCCAGCTGCTCGTCGATGAGCGTCGTTGCTGCTAGAAGATTGCGAATTATGTCCGACCGCCACGCCCACATGGGAATCAAGCTGCACCAGAAACCGAAGTTGGGCCCGTAGTTGGCCAATGTCGGGCCCGTCTGGTCCAGCCAGTAATCCAAACTCCGCAGCTCGTCCAGAGCACCTCCAAAAGATGGACTGACCGATATCAACAACTGCGGCTCTTGCTGACCCAGCAGCTCGTTCGCTTGCACATGGACATCGTCAGAATCCTCGGCCAGCTCGGCGTAAGCAGAGCCATGTTCGTCTCGATGCACTATTGCTGTCTTTGTGGTCGCCCCATCAAACATCCACGCTTTGGGGACATTGTATCCAAGGCACGTACGTCCGGAGTGCAAGCATCTGTGCCAACAGTGAGCATGGCCTCTCAAAGACTCACGGTAGTCGTCGCAGACCTCTTACAGCTCGGCTTGGCTTCGTCGCACTTGACTCTTCTGCGTTCTGGGACCATAAGCGGAGTGCAGGGCGGGCGGACGAGGAGGAGAATGGCCAAAGCACATACTGCAGGTATCGCAGCCGCTTCTTACTTTGCTGTGCAACTGCTTTCGGCGAGGTTTCGCGGCGGCATCTGCGTATATTCCGTCACTCTCGTGGTGTCTCACTTCGGTCTCTCGGGTGTGACTGCTTTGCTGGCGCCGACTTAGAATCGGGCGCATTGTCTTGCTTTGGTTGAGTCAGCATTGTTTTAACCAAAACGACAATGAGCAAATGTATCGTCATTTGTCGGGCAGGCTCACCTGCTGCGCGGCATTGAGTCGGCTTCGATTCCCTTTCCAGCCTCGGGCTCTACCCTATGAGAATTCTACTTCAGTCATTGTTCAATGAAAGTGTGCATTACGATCTCAGCGAGATCGTCGAGTCTGCCTGGAAGTAAAGTGTGGGAACAACATAGGATGGCCGTTCTTTGACTGCGAGTCCGGCGATTTATCGACATGAGCTCGAAGGCGACCCCATATGAGGCTATCCTCTTTGACTCTGTGTTGGCCAAAGTAGATGGCTCTTGGTCGATCAGTGGCCACGGTCGCACGATCCACGCGGCACGCGAAGCTGAGGCTATGATGATATTCATCAGGCCTCCTGCAGTACGGTAGGGCTTAGGGCAACACTGGTCCCCAATCCTTGGTGTGCCAGAACGTGGCAGCCAACGTGACATTAAAGACGGTTACTCAGGCGCATTTTAGGTTTCCAAGGGTGTTCATACCCCAATGCGCATTGCTTGTCCCGCGTTCGTGGCCGATGCTGGCGAAATCGACCAATAACGACAGTTACTTAGGCGCCTCTTCGTATATACACCCCCGATCTATTCAAGCTTCGCTCCCAAGCAACACAGGCGATCACTCAAATCTGACCAACGATTCCGATCTCTGGATATTCTGTGCGGAAAGCCGGTGTTCGACGTGCATGCTCACGCTGGCTAGCAACCCCCAGAGCTGCGCCTCCTTGCAATCACTTTCTGATATCCTCGGATGACGATTGAGCCAGTTGTCGAGGTCAATATCTCGAGCAGAATGGATGGAGACGTGTTCAAGGCTCCTGCAATCGAGGGCCTGACAGGATTTGCGATGGCACCAATCAATACCGTCCGCTCAGGTCGAACTTCAGGTATGAGAAACAAAGCACCTGCATAATTATATTCACCTTTTGGGTGAACTAAAGTCGTCGCCAGTCGCAGCATGGTAAAGCATTATTCAGCTTGAGGCGGGCTGATTTGCCAGCCTTACAGTGGCAAGTGGCAACCCACATCTGCCATGCATGTGTGCAAGGAGTTTCTACCGCTGCCCATCTTCAGGCGATGTTACGTCTGCCAATCGAAAGACCAATGACACAAAGTCACCGATTCGGAGACTTTTCACCTTCTGCATGTACAACAAGGCTCTGCATCACCACATGATGAATTTCCTCGCCGTCCAGGATCTAATTTGGGGTCTTAACGTCCTCCAGAAGCAAACGCCCTCTCTTTGTGTCGACTACCCTGGGAAAGGTTGGAGGTAAGTATTGCTATTCGTCCGAGCAGGCAGGGTTCATCACCATGTTTTACTTGATGCGGATGCATTTATCTCAAAAGGCCCAGAATTTCGTGTTGTGATGAAAGGCTTCAGGTTTCAGCACTTATCGGCTGCTTGGCTCAGCCCTCCGGCGGAGACCCGGACTATCAAGTAGGTGCACTGCGGACACGACCAGAGAATACCAATCCCACCAAGGCATGATGGGTGAGACGGACCAGACCTATTCGCATATGGCAGTGTTTCCGCATTTCATGCCATCTTGGATCCTCCGTCAAACGACCACCAGCCGAGCAAGTCGTTTTGAGACAATTGGGAATCTAGGCAGACTCCAGCAGATGCCATTAGTCGGCAGAAGCACGCTCGACGGCTCTCCTGATGGCTCCCTTTGACGGTTCTGACAAGTCTGAAGTGCGGTGCAAAGGGGCTGGCTTGCTTGCTTGCTACGCTGAACGCGAGACGATGATGGCTCTTAGGTTCCCCTTTTTCGGTTTCGCACTTTTTGACCAGACTTGATACGTGTGAACAGGACTCGGCCCTTGTTTTACGGTGTCTGGTGATTGAGCTCTCCCTGTCATGGTAAGGAGGTGGAAAGCACTCTCGACAAAATAATGCGAAACTAGCGACAAAGACACGACGCTTACGCCACGGAACAGCTTCATCTGGTATAGTACTCCTGAACCAACCGTTAATTACGATCACAAACATACGGCTGCTGTACGTGGGACATCATCCAAGACGAAAGTTACGGGGTCGCTCTCGGATTCAGCAGCGAGCGTGCAACGGAACCGAGTGTCTGGCAGCCCCCTCCTGTTCGTCCATCTCCTTCAATCAAACGAGTATCAAGTATCAGAGGCTAGCCTCGAAAAAAGCCCGCAGCAAGGCATGGATACTCTCAGATTTATCACCGTGTGGCATCACGACCACACGTGCCGGTCTCTAGGCATCAGGATTGCCTAGCGCAGCTCTCCATCTTGTACCGTCAGGTCGTCGAGGTCTGGATTTTCTCCGAGCTCCGAAGCAGACGCAGAAGGCACGAACACGATCTTTTTGCCGTCGCGGATTAGAACTTGCAATCGTGACCAACGAAAGGTGGTAGGTACTGTGGATGGGAACTTACATATATGTCTGGCGTGTCTCTGATTTTCCACCAGATATCGCCGGCATCGCAATTCGACTCGGACGGGCATATCTTCGTGCCCTTGCTCTGGTTCACCAGCCAAACGTGTCCCTTGGAGAGAAACGCTCCGGCAGCCTCCCAGTAGGTCAAGGTCGATCCCGAGGAGACGTTGTTCCTTCCGCCGTGGTAAGAAAGGCCCCAGACGCTTTGATCGGTCGCGCATAGATCTCCGCCGCTGGAACTGGCTTTGTGCTCGACATAGCCGACCGATGTACACGTGAGGCCTCCGTCCTTGACATGCATGGTGGCGTCGTTGCCCGTGTTGTACATGCAATGGTCACTTGCACTTCCTGCCTTCCACGAGATAGTGTACTCTTCGGTGGGTTTCTGGGAGAGATAGACGCACGCCTTGACGTTGGCACCTAGATTTTTGGAAGATGGTATTAGTCTTTGTCAGGGTGAAAGAAAGAAGATATCGAGTTTGGAAACCCTCACCTGCACCGGCGTTTACTTCTCTGAAAACTATGGCGGCTAATGGTGCCCACCACTCGATTCGAAGGCGCATTTTTGTTGTATCGAACGATCGATCTCTGTTCAAAGTGCTTGAGATAGAGCGTCTCGTGGACAGTCCCGTTATAGAACGAGACCCTGGAGCCATGGACTGGCAAGGCTCTTATACTTCCGCACTCAGGATATGGCGGAGCTGAGCGTCTGGCATGATGTAGACCGTGCGTATAGTGGAAAAGACGGTGTCCTGGCCTGCATTGCGTGGAGGATAGGCTACATAGAATCACCCATGGCGATAGTCCTTACGAGAATCTAGATCCCGTCATATTCAGCGCAGTTGGTGCTTTACTATCGCCCATGCTTTGCCAAGGATGACTTCGGCAAGGAGTGTAAGTTCATCGCGCATGAGTCCTTCCATTTCCACACGTAGGCAGTCTACCAGCGGCACAGTTCGACCAAGACAAGCGCGGGAATACGAGGCACGAATGCGTAGGACGAGCCGTAGTATGGCTGGCTGGGACTTTTCAGCTCCGTCAGGTAGTCCTACTCATTGAGATCGTGGCTGGCTGAAGTGGTCAACGACATGTTACAGAGTCCTTGTGCTGGCTTTACCTGACGCGGCAACATCGTGATCTAGGCCCTGCATCTTGGGACCGTCCAGGCACGTGCCGGCACGAGCGGGCGAGCGGAAGGCTTGGTCTTTTCTTGGTGTTACAGTATTGGCAATGTGTGCACAGAGAAAGACGGGCCCCGTCACGCGGAGCTCTGAGCCTGTACCTCTCTCTGGCATTCATCGTTATTGTCGCTTGCCAAGGGAGCTGAAGTGCCGGCATTCTACTTGTTTCCACTACCGCTTCCGCACACACGCACTGCGGATGACCTTGGTTGCGGACTCAAGTCCGGTACGGGAAGAGATCAAGGGAGGTTTGCAAAGACACATCGCTTGCCAGTTAACGGGGCACACAGGACACAGCGCACGATGAGAAGAGAAGTGACGGGTATGTTCGGATAGTGGTTACGCTCGAGCTCTAGACTACCCACAAGATGAAGATGAAGTACAGCACGGCGGTTCTGCAGCAGGCTGTCTCACTTGTGCGCCTGGGAGATTAGATAACACTAGAGAATGCCTCTCTGCATGAGAGAAGAGACTTCCATGTTATCGAACAGATGATTTTATTCGCTGTCGGCATAAACAAGCGCAATCTATATGTAGGTACCATGGAAGGCATCAAGTGCGGAAGACAGGATATAAAATACAGCACTATCATGAAACAACGACCATCCGCGGCATGGAAGGCAGAGAGTAAAAGAGCACGACGTCCATCTTCATCTTCATCTGCAGCTCCAGCTCCAGCTCCAGTCCCAGCTCCATCGCTAGCAAAGGCATCAATCAATCAATCAACCACTCAAGCATTGCAAAATAACTGGACATCAGCACGCCTCATTCATCTAGTTCCGATCCCAACTGCGGTTCGACATTACCGTTGAACGTACGTACTCACTCCCATTCTTCTCCCTCTCCCTCTCAACGCCTCAAGCCTTGCTCGCCTCGTCGTTCATCTATCATCTCTCCACTCAGCCCTTTCCCATCCCCTTCCCTTCCACCTACCACCTACCACCAGTCCGCCTCCGCCGGCCCCATTGCCGTCGTTGTCCCACCCAGGGCCTGTTCGCGCTTGGCCCAAGGCCAATCCACACGCGTCAGATCACTCCGCCCAAACTGCGGACCGAACCGCCATGTCTCATTTCGCTCACCGTATCCTAAACCAGGGGTCCGTCCCTTTCGCAGTAAGGACGACTTCTCGCGCTCAGATAAGCCGCGAGGAGATCGGCGTCGAGGCGGCGGTGGCGTGTACCACGTATTTTGGTCCTCCGGCGTGGCGGGCTCCCAGGCCGGCGCACCGGGCTTAGGGCTGGGTAGGCGCCAAGGGCGAAATCGGGGCGACACAGGCGGGGTTAGGATCCGACTGTGATACCGACTGCGGGTGCGAGTGCTTTGCGGACTGTGCTTGAGTGTCGTCTTCGCGGAGGATCGCCCGTCCGTAGGGCTCGCCTTACCCATACTCGTCGTATTGAGACCTTGACCATGACCTCTGGCGCCAGGGGTAGCTCTTGATTTGGAATCGCAATCGAGATCGGGCTTACCATGGGATCGAGAAGTCTTGCCGATAGAGTAGAACCGCCGACTTGGCGAGTCGTCCGTGTGGACTGGCGTGTACGGGCGCCAGGACGAGTCGTGGTAGGCGTAGGGGTGAGGGTAGGAGTATGAGTATGAGTACGAGTAGGCCGGGCCTGTCTCGGCGACATGGCGAGGCGACCTTGGCGTGTACGTGGGCATGGCCATCCCCTCTGTGTCGAGCTGGTTCCTCCGCCGATCTGCCTCCTCCCCCTCCTTTATTACTCTGTCGTACGCCCTCTCTTGCCAATCGACTAGAAACTCCGCCAGTTGCGCTTCGAAGTGCTGCTGATGTTGGGGTCCCATCCAGCTCCACGGCCCCTGGCCGCGAATGATATTATGTTCGGCAGCGTAGTCGTCGGCAAAGGCACGCTTGGCGACGTCGCATTCCTGCATGAGCAGCGCGTAGTCGATCTCCACGTCCGCGAGGCTGGCGGGGTGGTCTTCTTCGAGGAGTGTGGCGTCAATTTGTGCCTGGGGTGCTGCGGCTGTTTCATCTTGGGTTTCGTCTCCAGACCCGTGCGCATCCTCGTGTCCGGACAATGATATGGACATGGACGCGCTCTGGGAGTCAGTCTCATCGACAATCTCCGCCTCTCCCTCCTCCTCCTCGGATGTGACGTAGTCAGGGAGCTCGGTGTCCGCATCGTGGATCTCATCGTGTGTCGCCTGAAGACGGCCGTTGGAGCCGTATGCACCGTGTGTGTGCTGAATTTTGTCTCGAAGCCCTTCAGATGTAAACATGCCGGCGGTGTCATAGTCACTATCCACTACGACGTCCATGCTGGAGGTATGCCCCCTGTTACGCTTGGACCTCTTGCTGGGCGGAATCCAACCATTGCCCAAGTCGCCATCGCCATCGTAGACCTCTTCACGGCGTCTCTTGCGTGCAAACGCGGTGAGCGCGGCCGGGTCGACGTGGTTGACAAAGCTTACCAGCTCGGAGTGCCGCTCCTCCAGACTCGCGACGTAGGACTCCAGACTGTCAATCTGGCCGGCTTGCTCTTGTTGCGTCGCCAGCATGTCGGCCTCTCTGCGGATAAAGTAATCCATGAGGACGTCCCGGGTATTGGCTTCCCGATAATGTTCTTCCGCCTCTTGAAGGGCGACGAGCTCGTCTCGGATTTCCTTGCGAAAGTACTTCTCGAGCTTGTTGAAGACTGCGCCGAGCATACCTTGCACGTATGGCGATGTGAAGAGAGAAGGTTTGGCTTGGAGCGCTTCTCTAGCTGCGGGATGGTTGCCCCCTCGGCGATTGTTGTTGCTGGCCACTCGGTTCAGTTTGTTGCCCCCGTTGCTGGCCTTAGCGACGCGGTTGGCGGCGTTGTGTGCCCTCGTGTTGCGCGTGTTTCGCGCTCGACCGTCACCACGGGCACTGGGACCAGCTCTAGAATTGCCATTGGCGTCGTCGTGCTCGCTGCCGTCGGCGTTGCTTTGTGCATTAACATCGACGCCACCACGCTGGCTATCCTCTGGAATCCTCTCGTACAGCAGGACGTAGGGAGTAAACCGGCGCTTTTGGTCCATGACGGCCTTGAGAGACGTCTTCTTGACCCTGTCATCGTCGAACTCCTGCCAATCGTCGCCCCTGCGCACGTTGGTGATGTAGTGGCCCCCATCACGCGATCCCTGGTGACTGACGATGCCCACAAGCGTGTACTTCGTGGACAAATCGCCAGCTTGACCCTTCTCCTCGAGGAAAGGCGCCAGGTCGAGTTCCTCGGGGATCTCAATTCGGCTCTGGTCCTTTTCATAAATCACGTTGCCGTGTCTGTCAAAGCGAACCCCGCCGTTGGGAGCGGTCCGCACCTTGAAGCGCTTGAGCTGCACAAACAACACTTCAGGCGTGTACCACATCTTACTCCAGGCACGCCTTGGTGTCTGGTTGGCCTCGACGGTGTCGTCGCCGATATTCTCGCGGGGTGATATGGGCGCACAAGTGCAAGGGTCCATTTCGAAGTTCTCGCCGTGCTCAAGACACTGCACCAACGTCAGATTCGGCTGCCCACCACGCGCGCGTGCTGGCGGTATCTCGACACGCAGCATCTGGCCTTCTTCGAGCTTCGATTTGCGGTGTTTGACACGGCGCCGCTGCGAACACGGGTTATGCACCGATTGATAGACGGTCATGAGTTCTTTCACGTTCCTGTTCAGGATCGCTTCGCTGCAATTGTTACTGTCAGTTGAGGATCTCAACATTTTCACCGGACGTCGAAACTTACCTCCATGTCGTCTCGTAACCCCACCAAGTCAAATAACTGTCCAATTGCCGGACGCTGAGGTCTACCAGCCATTCGAAGAGCTGAGGGACGTCATGTTCCCTGGTCTCGTCCTTGAACGGGCATGTATAATTATTGGGCTCCTCTCCGACTTCGAGTTGTCGGGTATCACTGGTGAGATATGCCCAGAACCTTCTCATCGCTTCGTCAATCGTGCTTTGATCGGTGCCGTCGCCGCGCCAGTAGACGTTGGCTAATTGCAGGAACTCGCACCAGATGTCGGTGTACGGTCTCCCGTCCTCACCCCAAGCATCCCGTTGATGCTTGATCTGAAGGACGAGTCCCGCTCCTTCCAAGTTCGGAATATGTCTGTGTTCAATCCAGGACAGAAGCCGATTGCAGTGCAGCAACATGATGAACAGGACATTGCGGTAGCACAGATGCGAGGGATTGCTGATTCCGATGCCGTGGGATTGTGAGACAATATCGGATCTGGCTGCTTCCAGCGCTTCCACAGGCGTCTTCACTGGTCTGGTGGGATCTGGTGGTGCAGACTCTCTATGAAAAGCTGACCCTGTAGAACTTGTGGGACTCGCGAGCGTTCCCTCCGCAGTAGCGCCATGTTGTCCGCCAGCCTGTCCTGGAGAGGTGCCTGGTGCAGCTGGGTGTGTCTCGTTGCCAGCAGCCTGTTCTGGCGTTCCCGGTGGCGGCTCTGGCGCTCCTGTCGGCTGCTCTGGGTTCCTTCCGCCTTGGGCCGATTCTTTCTTGTCGCGGTCTTTGAGCGCTTGGATGATATCAACGGCCTTCCTGCTCTTGATACCAAGCGTCTTCCATGCCGGCAAAAGACGAGTCCTGTAGTCCCAGTGGTCGTAGTCTCTATCTGCGTTTGCCGACGGGATTTCTTGGGTCTGCTGATCATTCGATGTCTGGGTGGTCGTCTGTCGAGGACCGGTTGGCTCTTTGCCGCCATTCTTTGCATTGCCCTTGTCAAGCTTCTCAAGGAGACCTTGCTTCTTCAGACCGGTGGTATCAATGTTACGGAGGCTGCATTCGTGCTTGAGATCCTCGACTGTGAGCTTGTTCCAGTCCCTAGGGCCGTTGTCGCCAAACCTTACCAGACTCTCTTCGATCTTGTCGACATACTCTTGCCTCTTTAACTTCTGGGCCGGGACAGCGATCTGACGTGACTTGCATTGCTGGATCAACTTGTCGATGCTGTAATTGCTCCAATATTTTTGATTGATACTAGACGTCGAAGCACCTTTCTTCGAGGCCTTTGAAGGTTTCTTCTTGGCCATGTTGACGGAACACAAATGAAAATGTGCCTGGAGTCACAACGAGGAAAGCGAGACAAGGAAGAATCACCATCATCGAGACTGGGGATATGAACGAAAAGAGACAACATGCTCGAACAAAGGGCTTGAACAGAGTAGACGCAAGCGTGTTTGAGCATCGAACAGGACGTTTGCGGATGACTGTTGAAAGGGTGTGGCATTGTGAACAATGAATACCGGTAGCTGAACAAGAACAAGAGCCGGAAATAGACAACTCAACAGGACAATGTGCCTTGAATGGGCAGGACATCAAGCTGGTATCCCCGGAACTGGCAAGGCCCGGCAGGTACTCGGTGAATGGCAATGTCAGAGTCCGAGGTCGTGGTGTAGATCGTGGAATATATGGTGGACGAGGGCGAAGCGTGGTCAAACACGTCACGTGCCAGCCTGCAAACAAACAAGGCTCGAGCGTCTGCGGTACGTGCCCTCACTGATAAACGGGCTGTGGCATTAGGATATCGTAAACATGTGATAACATGATCGAGTCGTACAAGTCTATCGCTAATGGGTCAGAATGCGTTAAGGAATCGTACCCGGTCCCCTTGATCCAGGGTTCGGACGGGATCTCAAGATGGGGCCACTGGCTTCGGGGCTTTGCCATTGCCGAAAAAGCGTCTCCAGTCTTCCGAGTTTCGATGACTATCACCAATCTTGAACACTTCGATTCGAGGGCCACAGCCGTCCGGTGGCGGTGAGGGTGAGGCTGCCACGGCTGTTGGCGTTGCTACAACGCCAGCCGTGGTACCTTTTTCAGACGGCGTTCGATCGACTGAAGATGCCGTACTTCTCAAGGTGACCATGGTCTCTAATTTGTCGATGCGCCTTTTTATTCGGATAAAGCAGAAGGCCGCGACAATCAGAGCGACGCCAAGTATGACGCCGATAGCGATGCCAGCTTTAGCACCACTACTCAGGACGTCGGAATGACTGCTAGAGGGCACAGCAGTCTGGACGGCTGTCGAAGACGTTACAGCAGCGGCGCCTGTCAGAGTCGACTCCGTATGGCTTACTGTCGATATGGGCGAGTTGACTCCCGATGGCGAAGTAGTTGCCGCTTGTGTGACGGCGAGGGCATAGGTCGTTGCGATTCCCTTGGTGCTGATCATCGTGAAGCCAGCACCCGTGGTATAGTCCGTACTGTTCTCCGCATCGCAGAGCATGAAGTTGCAGTAGGTAGGGAAGTGAGGTATTTGCATCCCTGCTTGGATGGGCGCAATCGCATAGGTGCCATTCGATTGCACTGTTGCAGAAGTCAGAACCTCGGTCCTACTAATTGTGCCACTTGAAAAGAAACTGACATTTATTCATCCTTGCTAATGAGAATTCATTCGAGGCTTCACCCATTTCACAAAACACGGTGAGGTTCACACTGCCCCAGACGCTTCTATAGCCGAGCTGTACCTCATCGATGTTGTTCAGCGTCATCGAGAGCGTTGGGTAGACGAAAAGGGCATGCGGCATGTCTGTAGCCGTGTCCGGCCCTGCTGTGGTCGCCGCTGAAGTCGTCGGAGTAGTCATATCGGCCGTGGTAGATGGAGGGGTTGGAGTTTGAGCCGCAGCATCGCTGTCAGACTCGGGACGCTGATGCCTTTGAGGTGCTCGTTTGCCATGTTGGCGGAAGGATTCCTGGAACATCTAGGGTCGGCAATTTGCCAAGGTCGAAGTCCGTAATCTCAGCTCTTGTAGGAGTATATGGCATGGTTCTTGACAAATCGTGCTCATAAGGCTGATGTGCAGGACGTTCGTCTCATGTTCACGAAATTTCTGGGTTTTGATACACCGCGGGGTCGAATGATGTATGATAGAGTTTCATGAGGACCTGCCAGCGTATTTGTTGCGTGTCGAATCTGGAAGCGTCAGGGGAACACGCCATCAACGGTTTGCCCCGATCTGGAGATACCCGGCTATCGAGGGAGCTAGTGAGGATTCGAGACAGACGGCACATGGCATTGGACTTTGGCGAGATTGCGAGCATCAGCAGCCACCAGTCCAAGTGGAGCCACAACGGCTTGCTCTTTGTTTGGATTTTCTAACCCCACCTGGTAGACAGGAGCCGACGCGATGGATAGCAACAAGACCAGCTTCGTGCATTCCTGGGCTGCCGCGAACATGGGCCGACCGGTACTCGGCTGGAATTCGACAGTCGAGCATGATGATATTCACAACAATGGAGAAGCACCAGGAAGCAAGGGGGATGGAGCTTTGGAGGTGATTGGCCGACATGCTTCGGTAAATGAACAAGCCGAGGTGGAAGTTGCTTGGTCCAGTGGCACCCCCAAGTGGCTGAAAGCGGCGCGGATATTCGGGTGACTCCAGTCTCCGCCAGGATCAGAATCACCGGAAGCGGCCTGAAACTTCGATCATGAAATCCTTAGTTGACATCCGGTGCGTTCGGAGGTCCACCTGCAACGTGACAACATGTCTGAATGCCCCATATACTGGACAGCCGCTACTGCTTTTTGAAGCTTTTCGCGATAACCGCCAGCGCTCTCTCTTCCGGTGAAAGGGAGTGATCACAAGCGGTAGGATCCCATTTCAAGCCAGGTCCCTCTCAATAATCATTACCTCGCCAACTCTGCACTGTCGTCCCAATGGTGCTCATACTTTCTTTCCGCCTGATGCTATCGCCGTCAAGGTTCAATTTACTCAAAACCTCTGTTGGAACAGTCGGTACATATTTCCGGGCTTGTTCCCGGTTCGTCCCACCGATGCCTGCGCCATAGCTGATGAGCATGTCTGTGGATGTCGGGAGAGAAAATGGAAGCATAAGAGACTGGTCCAGGGTCAAGGCGTTGCGTTTCATGGGCGGATCCGTATCTTGTTCGATAGGCGAAGATGTCGGAGGCGCGGATGGCCGTTGGGGCGTGCTGGGGTCCTTATTTGCCGGGACCGGGGTTCCATTTCGCTTCGCGGGCGTTGCTGTTCCTGACTCTGGTGCATCTATCGCGGGAGTCAACGGCCTCTTGATCAGAGATTGTTCACCTCTCTGCAGTTGCGTCAAGAACTTCATGTGCGCTTTAGGGAGGCTCTTTTCTCCCACTTCTGCGCGATAGTTCTTGACAGCGTGGATCAGTTGCGTGGGAGTGAGGCGCTGCAGCTGAACCAAGGTGCCCACAAGAGATTCGTGATCCTCTCCTAGGGAGCTGAAACACTGCAACCACTGCAGCAGTTGGATGATCGGCGCAAGGTGTCTTCGTGCTCCATCAACTGTGTTCTCTCCTGTGGATATCGTTGAGCCGTTTTCGTAGTGTTCGGGTTGTCGATTGTTTGTGCGTGCCCAGTCCTCAATGACAGACACATTCATGCGGATCTGCATCGCTTTCGTCCTTGAAAGGTATTTCTTGGTAGTCATGACTCGGTTGAACAGCTCAGCACCAATCCAGTATAGGAGCTGCGAAAGTATCTGCGCCGTGATGACGGAATGTACATCGTACAGGTCGAGGACGAACAGCGTGGAAGAGAGAAGGGAAGTGATATTGCGCGGGGATGTCTGAGCTCGTCTTTTGGGCGAAGGCGGCCGGAACCGCTTCTCGGGCGGCTCATCCTTGGTCTTCGGCTTCGACTTGAAGACTTTCCATTCTCCCTGGAATGCAATATCATCCAAGCCAGGAATGGTCTCATGATCTAGCATCGCCACATCAAGGACTTTGTTCATCCTCCTTTCCGCGTCTCGGATGATGAGGATGAAAATTTCATTAATCAGCTCCGCCAGCTCCAGCTGATACTTCGACGTCACCTGAACCAGGCCAGCGTCTTTCTTGAGGTAATGCAGGAGCAGAGTAGCGTTGGAAATCCAGAATGCTAGCATGGTCATGTCCCACTGGCAGCGTTCGATGACGTCGTTGATGAGGTCCATAGCTCTCGTCAGTACATCGTCCAGAAGAGAAGCGGTCATGTGGTAATGCGCATATCGCGCCATGAGGAAGATCAGGTTTGCCGGCACAGGTTTCTGCGACGGTGAACGCTGAGGGGTCATGTTGCTTATGATGAGGTCGAAGATAGCCTCCAATTTGTCGGCTTGGAAGACAAACATCTGGTCGCCGACGCACCTGTCCCAGATGAACTCTTCTTCGTCGTTATCGAGATCGGTGGGTGACTGTCAGAGGTTAGTAGGTTTCCCAGCTGCAAGCTCGTTAATTTACCTCTGGCTGCTCATCAAACCCTAGCGTCGACAGATCGACCTCTAGGTTTGCGGCGCTTTCCTGCATCAACATCCGCCGTTTCATTTCGTTCTCTGCCATTTCTTCTTCAAATCGATCTTGGGAAAAGCCCGAGTTATAGAAGTCATCCGCCGAGCTTGAGGATCCGAAATGGTAGCCATTCTCGTGAAGATAGTGCGAAAAGTCGGACCCGGGTTGGACGAAATCCAGGGCAGTGCCTCCGGAAGAAGACCTGATGTCGGGGTCGGCGCCGTGATCGAGCAGCAGTTTGGCGATCTGTTTATGGCGATTCGTCATAGCCCACATCAGGGCGCTCCATTGGTTCCGGTCCTGCTTGTCTACAATCGCTCCAGCATTCAGAAGAGCAGCCACCACTTCTTGATGTCCCTTCCAGAGTCAGTCTGAACAGCACACGGTTGGTCTCCAGGCAACATACAAAGCAACTGGCATAAATCAACGGAACCGTGCCTTCCTCATCTGGTTGGTTGACATCCACATATTGTTTGGCCTTGCCTCCCACCAGTTTCTGAATTCGAGAGACATCACCATTGCTCGCGGCCATGTTAAGGCTCTTCTGCAGAATCTCTTTCTTCTCGTCATCGGAGAGGTTGTCGTCAGTTGCAATGGCGTCTTCATCTTGTCCAGGACTGCCACCTTGCCTATGGTGCGCCTGTGCTGCCACCATTTCCATCAAGCGCGACTCGCTGTCCTGTATCCGAGCGAAGGTCTCCTCGTCATCGTAGGCTGGGGTGTCCAGATGTAAGTCGAATGTGAGAGTTCTTGCGGGAGTCGGGGCAGTGATGTACTGAGACGAGCCTGTACACAGCAAAGGTCAGTAGGTCTTCCGGGCGAAGCACGAGACTAGTCGTGCATTGTAATCTGCCTACCTTGCCAGCCATCATACATCTCTGTCTCCTCTCCATAGTTGGCGAACGTGCGGCGGTCGTCCAAGGAAGTCGGAAGGTCATCTGGGAGCTTGCGCGGTGTTTCCTGAGAAGGGGACTGCGGCTGGGAATGGGCTTCGGTCGGTGTAGCTGGGTCTCCTACGTCCATCGTGTGGTTGTGATCTCATGTCGGACGGAGGTCTGTGATGGTGGACACAGGTATCCCGTGAACTGTCATATCATTCATACATGCATGTCATTTTCGCCGTGGCCGCAACAGCCTGTATGCCAATACTGTCTGCCTCGACTTTCTCGACTCACCTCCTCGTGTCCCGCACCTGCTCCATCCGAATCCGAGTCGGGGCTTCATCGTGACATCTCCGTGCTTGGCAGTGTATTGGTCACGTGCGAGCAGGACTTCTCGATGCGGCTGTGATGATCATGCTGCTCTCATGACAACTACCTCTCTCCACCCTCACCTCGACTTTACCCTGCCACCTACCTGGCTTTGTCGGCTTTCCCTGGTTAGCACACTCCTTTTCTGTCTGAGGTGCTCTCCACGTACCGTACATAAAATAAAGGCGCAAGTACGCCGTCAAATGTGGAGATCTATAAACCGCAGCAAACACAACCCTTGGCCGTCGCCATATGTCCAGTGTCTCCAGATTCCTCGCGTGTGCGTGCTCCTAAGCGGACACACTCCAGCAAGTATTAAGCCTCGGCTACAATTGTGTGATCAGGCATGTTCACTCCTGGAACTGATTAACTGAGTCCAGTCCGGAATGGCAAGATTGTCTCAAGCACTAGATTGAGGTATCGTCGTCAGGGTCGGACACTCAATGATCGGGATGTTGATGTATGCTCTTCTTTTATACCTGCAGTGTGCAACAGGAACAGGCTTGAAACAATCATCAGATACTCAGCGACCGTTTGAGAAATCATGCATCATATCGCAAGGTGCTGCAAGCCTGCTGGCAGCTTTACAGATTCACCCAGGATTGCACGGAACTTATGGCGGCCCATAGATAGCAATTGAAGCCAATGGACAGGACTCACCCAGACAGACTCACGCTCAAATTAGTGGCTGAAGAGACATTTGGGACGGAATGTTGAAGGGGAGCAAGCATCGAGCTGGTCTTCCGCATGTACACAATGCGTAGTTACCGTATTTCACAACTCCGCAAGCTGGTTCGAGCTAGTTGTGCCTAAAGCGGAGCCCCAACGACGTGATTGGCTTAACCCCGTCTCTATTTTGGCCCGTGAACCCTTTTCTGCTCGGAAATCACTGGAATCCGGTCACAAACTCATAGAACATTCATCTTCTGTGTGCAGGAGGCGACGCACGGCAATGAGACGCCTTGGGGCTGGAGTCTTCGGGCACATCCCACTGATTCTGGTGATCTTTGCGCTGTCGAATTCTTCGCTGGCTTCTCTGGGCGATCACTTACCTGATTTCCGCGAATGCGTCAAGGTACAAGCTCATCCGATTCCCACATTGGCTGACTTTACTGACAGCTACAGGTCTGTGTGGAGGAGAATTGTGACACTGGGCAAGCAGCGCTTCGTGAGTGCTTCTCTTCTGGGTTCCACGTCTTCAACTGAGCCATTTCAGCGTTGCATCTCCGAATCTTGCTCTGGGACTGCCCGTCTGAGTGCGACTACACATGTCAACATGTGATTACCGACCAACGGAAAGCACGGGATCCGCCTATGATTGAGCCCGTGGTACAATTTCATGGGAAATGGCCTTTTTATCGATTCATGGGCATCCAGGAGCCCTTTTCCGTCCTGTTCTCGTTGATGAATCTTCTGGCTCATCGAGAAGGGATGCAGCGAATTCGAGAATCAATTCCTGCTCGCTATGCCCTGCGACCTTATTACTTGGCCCTTGGCTACTTTGGACTGGCGAGCTGGATATTCAGCATGATTTTCCACTCGCGAGACTTCAACGTCACGGAGAAACTGGACTATTTCGCCGCTGGAGCAAGCGTGTTGTACGGACTCTACCTCTCCCCGATTCGAATATTTCGCCTTGATAAGAACGATTCGACAAAACAGAGCATTCTCCGGGTATGGACGATACTTTGCGTCTCCCTTTATGTGGCCCATGTCACCTACCTCACAGCTTGGAGCTGGGACTACACGTACAATATGGCAGCCAATGTCGTGGTTGGCGTGCTTCAAAATCTGCTCTGGACTTGGTTCAGTATAAGCAGATATCGCAAGTTGAAGAAAACATGGGCAGCGTGGCCCGGTCTTATCGTGGCTTGGATCGTCATGGCGATGAGTCTGGAGCTCTTTGACTTCCCCCCAATCGCCGGCATGATCGATGCGCATAGTCTATGGCATCTCGGAACTGTCATTCCAACAATCTGGTGGTACAGGTATGACAGTCTACTGCCTCTCCACGTTGATGCTAACTCGGATACAGCTTCTTAATTAAAGACGCCCAAGAAGACCTTGCGAGTGAAAGGCTCAAGGCGTAAACTAACATCGGTGGCAACTCTGCCATGCCCCAAGACTGTTTCCCGCCGTTCAGAGTCCAGGTATTTCTGGCCAAACGAGAAACCACGAATGGCTAGTCGACCGCACCAGTGCCAGGAATCGAGAAGCCATTTTTGTGCGGTGCTAAGCTATTCTTCCGACAGGAGGGGTTGAGGGGCGGGAGCTGCATCCATGATAGTTAAACATTCTTTGGCGCCTTTCCCGCCGGTGGCCGCCTAAACCGGGGCCGCTTATTGGTCCCTACACAGCCGAGACAGCCGCTAGCCAGGCACAAATCTCAACGCGGGGCGTGGCTCGGCGCGGCTCCTTGCGTGGGATGTAGAAACGAAACGTCTTTTGGAGATGCATTTCTTACCTGCATTTCATCCCACCGTCGTCGCTCTTCCTCGTAATCCACGATTTCCTTCTCTTACCTTCTCGTTTGTCGCCGCTATCTCTTTCACTCGCACGTGAGTCGCGATAATAGCTTGTCGACATCAACCGGTCGTCTGCGATCGAGCGCACCTACAGCCACTACTCTCCTCAGCCATCATGGCGTCGTACTCTGACCCTCGGGACTCGGTGTTGAACAAGCCCAAGCCCGTCATCCACCTCGACAAGACCCTGCTGGATCGCATTACCAAAGGAGTAGAGCCATACCCTATCCAGGAGGGCCGGAAGTACGAGTATGGCACTGCAGGAGTATGTTTTCGTGCCCATTCATCTGAGCCTGCCACTGACAAATGTTTCGATTCAGTTCCGCATGAAAGCGTACGTTTGTCCCTCAGCCACACAAAGCTGACATCCACCACCCTTCTGGTCGCTCTGAGATCCTCGAGACTGATAAAGAGACGGAAGCACAGCCCATTACTCGATCATGTCATCTACACTGTTGGTCTCATTGCTGCGCTCCGTTCCAAGAAGCGCAATGCAACCATTGGGATCATGATCACAGCCAGTCACAACCCCGCTGAAGACAACGGAGTCAAATTGGTGGACCCCATGGTGAGTTGTCATCTGACGCAAGGTGTCGCCATGCGACTGACGGATTGGCTCATAGGGTGACATGCTGGAGGTATGCATTCCAGCCTCCCTCGTCCTACTCACGTGACTGATACCTGGGTAGCAATCGTGGGAGGGGTACGCCACGACTCTCGCCAATACTCCCAATGACAAGCTCGCGAAGGAGTATGAGAATCTCTTGAATGAGACTTTGATCAGCAATATCAGCCAGCTCCATGAGAGACAAGCCAAGGTGGTGTTTGCTCGGGACACCCGTGCTTCCGGGCCATATCTGGTTACTGCCCTGAAGGCCGCTTTGGACGCCGTCAACGTCGAATACACCGACTATGGCATCATGACTACTCCTCAGCTGCACTATATCGTACGATGCATCAACACTCTGAATTCACCATACGCCTTTGGCGAACCGACTGAGCAGGGGTACTATGAAAAGATGGCGAAAGCATTCAAAACACTCATGCATGGTCGCACCATTCAAGGCCCTATCACCGTCGACTGCGCCAACGGTGTGGGAGGTCCGAAGCTGAGAGAATTGATCAAATACCTGCCTACCGCCAAAGAAGGTGGAATCGACATCAAGGTCGTGAATGATGATGTGGTAAAGCCAGAAGCGCTCAATTTCGAGGTATGTCCCCGGTGCCGCAACTCTATACACCTACTCACTTCTTCAGTGCGGCGCCGACTACGTCAAAACCAAGCAACGAGCTCCGCCCAGCTCCAACGCTCAACCTGGCGACCGTTGCTGCTCCCTTGACGGCGACGCAGATCGGGTGGTCTACTACTACACTGACGAACAGAAAACCTTCCACCTGCTGGACGGCGATCGTATCGCAACACTTGGTGCCGTCTTCCTTGCAGATATGACTCGTGTCGCTGGGATTGATCAGAAGCTGAAAATTGGAATTGTTCAAACCGCCTACGCCAATGGGGCTGCCACCGAGTATGTCGAGAAAGTGCTCAAACTGCCTGTCACAATCACGCCTACTGGTGTGAAGCATCTTCACCACGCTGCCGCTAGATACGACATCGGCGTGTACTTTGAAGCGAATGGCCACGGAACCGTTCTCTTCTCAGACAATGCGATCAAGCTCATCCGAGAATCAGAGCCCAAATCGCCTGGGCAGAAGCACGCCTTGGATTCTCTCCGAGCCTGCATCGACCTGATCAACCAAGCAGTGGGCGATGCGATATCAGACATGTTGTTTGCTGAAATTGTGCTTGCTCACAAGTGTTGGACACTCGAAAATTGGCGAAATACCTACATCGACCTGCCGAACCGTCTGGTCCGTGTTGTTGTCAATGATCGGTCCATTTTCAAGGCCGTCGATGCAGAGAGGAAGCTGGAGTCTCCCAAGGGTGCCCAGGAGGAGATCGACAAGTATTGCCAGATGTACATCAAAGGCCGCGCCTTCGCTCGTGCGTCTGGGACGGAGGATGCTGTTCGTGTCTATGCCGAAGCATATTCGAAGTCCGAGGCGGAGAAGCTCGCTAGCCAGGTCGCAGAGGTTGTGAGGAGGTATGGTACCTCGTGAAGCTTGCGACTAAGGCACGTCATTCCAACAATGTGCGTCGAAGACGTTGGATAACCCATTTTGCATGGCATAGCGATGGCGCAATGGAGCAAGGCAGGACAGGGCCGACATGTTGGGCGTAGATTGACGAGACATGATAAAACTGAGCTGGATACCCACATCAAAAGTTCTTGATTACCCTTGATGCCGGTGGCGGATCATCACGACTGCATTCAGCTACTATGAAGTCCAATCAGCACTCTGAATCCCAGTCACAGCAGCCACAAGCAGGTGGTCAGATATAGCGTACTCGGTACCCTGGTCGCCAATGCTGCCTCTGTCAGGGCTATCTACAGTACTTACATCAGACACATTGGTGTTGATGACGACGTCCTAGATGGGCAGCATGCCTAACATGGTCGACCGAAAGGGTAGCCTCCATAAAACCAATCTGATGACTTTTACAGTGCCTGGTGTCTTGCATGCGGCATTCTGTCAGCCACGTATGAACGGACGTTGTTCTCCGTCGTGTATTCGGATGCGTCGGCTTTGTCCTAAGGAGTATTGTATGCATCGCTTCGGACCCGATAGCCAAACGTCCCGATTCTGGCAGTAAACAAGTCTCGTTCCACGAACTCGAAGACACTGCCAATAAAGTCGGTTTGTTCAGAGGTTGTGATTTCCTCGTACACACTGCGGTCCACAGTTGAGCAGGATCCCAAGGCTGACAGCCATCCATCCGTCATCCGTGTGTGTTTGTGTGTGTGTGTGTGTGTGTGTGAGAGAGAGAGAGAGAGCGACAAGTCGATCCTGCATATGGCACACAAGATGAAAATCAAGCACGCAATCCTGCCAGGCAGAGATCCAACCTCACGGTGGGATGTCGACTTTGAATCCAACACCATCACGCGCATACGACCAGCAGCGGCAGGGGCGGCGGCGGGGGAGGAAGACCGGTCGAGAGATAACCCGTCCCCGTTGCTTCTGCCGCCTCTGTGCCACCCACATATTCATCTGGACAAGGCATATCTCCTGACGTGTAACCACCACCGACACCAACCTCAACGTCACCCGTCGAGTAGTAGTCAAGCGGAGGGGGGACCACCGTCGTTGGACAAGCAGCAGCACCCGGATTACTCGGACCTCACGCCCCGGGACGGTTCGTTCGGCGAGGCGCTGAAGTTCACGTCGCTGGCCAAGCAGCGCTACACGGATGAAGACCTGTACCTGCGCGGCGCCCAGCTGCTCGCCACGTCGCTGGCGCAGGGCGTCACGGCTTGTCGGGCGTTTGTGGAAATCGACCACGTCACGCGCCAATCGTGCCTGCACGCGGCGATCCGGCTGAAGGAGTGTTTCCGGGGCAAGATGAAGCTGCAGATCTGTGCGTTCGCGCAGGATCCCCTCTTCAGCACGGACCACGGCGCGAGTAACATGCAGGTCTTGCAGCGCGCGCTGCGCGATGACTGTGGCGAGCATGTCGACGTGCTGGGCACGACGCCGTACGTGGAGCAATCGACGGACGCGACGCTGCGGAACATCGAATGGGCTATTGAAACGGCGTTGGAGTATTCTCTACATCTCGATTTTCATCTCGACTATAATCTCGATGCGTCCCGGCAGGCCATGGTCTGGGAAGTGCTCCGTCTGCTGCGAGAGAAGGCGTGGACCGAGCGAGCAAAGCCCGGAAAGACGATCGTGCTAGGCCACTGCACGCGGCTGACACTCTTTAGTGATGCCGAGATGGCGAGACTGGCGAGGGAGATCAAGGACTCCGACCTGCCGGTTCATTTCGTGGGGTTGCCGACGTCGGATCTGTTCATGATGGGCAGGCCTGTCCAGAAAGCAGCAGCAGCAGCGGCAGCAATACCGTCGGCTGAGGAGGAGTCGACGTCTGGGAATCGGCCGCGCGGGACGCTCCAAGTCCTCGATATGGTTCAGAAACACGGCATCAATGCCTGTCTGTCGGTGAACAATGTGGGCAACGCATTCACGCCGTGGGGCACGGGTGATCCGCTCGCTCTGGCGTCGCTGGGCGTCGGCATATATCAGGCTGGCACGGACCAAGATGCCAATCTCCTCTTCGAGTGTGTGAGCTCGAGAGCCAGGCGGGCAATTGGGCTCCCCACGGCGAGCACGCTCGAGGCGGCCTATGATTCTAGAGAGTCAAGTCAAGAACAAGGGCAGGGCCACGATACCACGGAACTTCAAGAGGGTCGGAGGGGCGAACTTCTGCTGATCAGGAACAAGGAATACGTGGCTTGTCCGGGTCACTTGGGCGTCAAGATCCCGGCGAGGCAACAGGTTTGTGTGAGAGATGTGGTTTGGGATCCGCCACCGGTCGACCTTCGTCAGATCCTGAGATGTGGGTGAAAGTGAGCATGGGAGGAGCAGTAGCATGACTATGAGTATAGGCCATGGGCATCAAAGCCTCATCTGGCTGGCGATGGGTCGATCACCCTTTGTGCGACCTTCCAAGGACAAGGACAAGAACTGGCGACTGCAGTTGATCCTGTTAGACATAGACCGCCGACCTGCCGAGTGCGCAGCAGCGATATAGCGACGGATCGGAAGATACGGCGAAGGAAGGACAGTGAGGGAGTGACTGTGCTATGTACTGTGGCATGCAGTGAATCTCCTGGAAGACAGGAAAAAGACACGTTCAGCTGCGTCTTCTCCGACCCTGGCTTTTGAAGCTTTATAACGTGTTTTCATAGCTCTACCTTACTCTCATCATCACGCTCGATCCAGTACACCTCTGCTCACTCGACTTCGCTTCCCAAGCCACTGCCGTGCCGGCATCTCAATTTGCATCCAACCCGCGCAGCCTGGCAGTTGTCTGTTTGTCCGCCATCACTCCCTGTCCTCCTGATATAGGAGTCGCTTCTTCTCCCACCACGGCCATACGAGTAGTCACACTCTATCACTCCCCCCTCCGTCTTTCGGCCTCCTTCTGGATCCACCCCGCCGCCTCGTCCTTGACTTTCTCATCCCACCGACTCAACGCGCTTCTCCCCTCCGTGATATCCCCGACGGCCCAAGTCATGCGGGCATTATCCAACGCCTCGTCAACATCCGTATCCGGACAGATAATGTAGAACTGCCCCCGCTCGATCTTCTGCACACCGTACTCGGCAACCTGGCTGGGCAACCACGCGCCCCGCGGTTTATTCTTCAGCGCCGTCTCATCCGGCACGGGGCCCACATTGCCCGACAAGCCCGTGAACGTCCAACCGGGCACCAACAGATGCGCCGACACATGCGGCGCGTAGATGCTCGACCCGCTCGTGCGCAGGTCGTGCGCGAGCTGCTCGGCCGTGGTCTTGACCGCGGACTTACTCGCGTTGTACGCCGGGTTGCCCGGCGGATTTGTGATGCCCTGCTTGGACCCGGTCATGACGACGGCGGCCGGGCCCGACGACTTGGTGACCAGCGGCAAGAACGTCACCAACCCGTGCACCACGCCAAAGTAGTTCGTCGCGAGCGTCTTGTGGAAGTACTGCGCGTCCTTCCAGGGCGTGGTCGTGCGGATCGCCATCCCTGCATTGAGCATGAGGAAATCGATCGTCTGGAACTTGCCCTCGACGTCCGCGCGCACCGCCGCCCACGCGTCCAGGTCCGACACGTCCATCTCGTACGTCAATGTGAGTAGTTTGTTGTCCATGGCTTGCAGCGCCGACGACGCCGCCGTCAGGGTCGCCCGGTTGATGTCCAGCAGGGCGACGTGCATGCCTTGGCTGCGGCAGTGTTGCGCAAACGCAAAGCCCACGCCGCTGGCACCGCCGGAGATCAGGGCCAGGGCGCCCGGGCGGAACACTGAGGCCATGGTGTTTCGTCTCTGGTGGAGGGATACCACGGCAGGACGAGGACGGACTGTGAGCGCTTGCTTGATGCCGAGGAGACGTGCTGTGGCTGGGCGGGGAGCCAGGTTCACGCCGGCGTCAGTAAATCGCAATTGCAAGTGGCAACGATGGTGATCTACACGGTCCGCGGTAGTTAGCGGATTCTTCAGCCGACGCGGTCAGAGATCCCACCAAAGGTTACAAGACGGAGTACAGTACTGTGGTCCTCGAGATAGCCGGGATGGAGTGGAATCAAGGAGGGGAAGCACTGAGAGATACTCAGTAAACTCGGCAACACTCCGTCCATCCGTCCCAAGGCGCCACGGGCATCGCGCCATCGGTCTTCGTCTATGACTGACTCGTACCAGTGTCAGTGATGTCGAATGTGGCCTGATATAATCTGCTGTATCTGGCAAAGACCGGCAGGATATGCATGGTTGATCATGTCTTGTAAAATTCATTCTGGCTTTCATTTTTTTTTGGTCCCTTTTTCTTCCTATATGAATGCAATGCGCGAGTTCTGCAAGGACATGCACGCTGCGCGCTATTCGGCTGCAATGAAGTACTGGATGCCATGCTTTAAGGATTTTCTTTTCCGTCCACCGCCCCGTTCCCGTGCGCCCGCATTAGACGATATTCCGGGCGACGAGGAACAATTAACTCAATAAGAATAAGGCCAGGTCTTTCCGGGCATCCATGAGCTGAAGAACGATCATCAGGCCGTCTCGGTGGCGGTGCTTTCCTTGTCCTCGAGCTTGGCCTCGGCCAGCTCCTTGGTAGCATCGGCGACGCCATCCTTCTCTTGAACTTGTTCACTTTCAGCAGAGACTGGACCGTTGACCAGAGCATCTTTTGCCGAGACCTTCTTCGCACGGTTCTGCCGTCCGCTGCTCGAGGCTGATGCAGTGTTCGAGGCTTCCGCAGCTTCCTGCTCGAGCCTCTCGATCTCCTTCTTGGCTTTTTCGATGTTCTATCGACGTGTTAGTACGGAATCAGAACAATTGCCTGAACCTTACCTTTTTGGTTTCGGCGTCCTGGTCTCTCTTCCAGGCGGCCAACTTCTCCTTGAGCTTCTCAACGACGCCCGGAACATCGGCTTGGGTGCTCGGTGGATCCACGCCCACCTTGGCCAGTTCTTCGATGATACCAATGTTCATGTTCAACTTGCCAGACTCGGCAGGAGCCGCGGCACCCTTCTTGCTCTTGCCCTTCTTCTTGCCGCCGCTGCCGACAAAGAAATCCTCGTCTTCCTTCTTGACGACCTTCATGCCCTTGAAGCCGGCCTCGTCAATCGTGCGCTGAGCTGTCGCAGCAAACTGTCCAGGGCCCTTGTCACCTTCGTCCGTGGTGTATGTCGGGTCAAAGTGGCGGATGAGGCCTTCGGCGGTACGGATCTGGTCCAGGAAAGCGGGCTCGGAGGCCTCCTCCAGCTTCTGCTCGGCAATGCGGCGGCGTCGGTCCTTCTCATATGCGTCCTTCTCGGCCTTCTGTCGCTCGCGCTTCTGTTGCCAGATGAGGTCCTCGAACTCTTTGTACGCCTTTCGCTGAGCATAGTAGTCGTCCTTGACCTTTCTGATGGCTTGATAGGTGGTCTGCTGCTCTTCGTAGAGTTTGTCCCGCTCAGCCTTGAGAGTGTCGAAATTCTTGTTGGTGTCCTCGCGCGCAGCCTTGATGTCGTCGAGCTCCTTCTGATTGTCCTCGTACTTCTGAGACAGGGCACGGCTCTCAGGATTGTCAAAGGTCTTCTTGAGTTCGGCGTTTTCCGCCTTCTTCTCGTCGATCTTCTTCTGCAGTTCGTCGAGACCAGCAAAGCCCTTCTTGTTGCGGCGGAGCTGGGAGATCTCGTTGAGTGCCTTCTTTTCGTCAACCAATTTCATTGTGCCCGAATCGACTTGCTTCTGGAGGTTGTCGATCTTTGAGTCGATCTCCTCCGGGCTCTTGAAACCGACACGGGTGCGGGCATCCTTTTGCTCGGCAATGAGCTTCTTGATCAAAGCGTCATTCTGGTTGAACTTTTCTTGTTGGCCTGCCTTGGCCGACTTGTGCTCCTGCTGCTTCTGGCGGATGGACTTTTGCTCGTCGACGAGTTCCTTGAAGCGGTCGTTCGCAGGAGTGGACTTGCCAGGACGAGCACTGTCCAGCTTGGATCGGATGGCGTTCTAGAGTGAGTCAGCTCTGAATCTCTATCGCACGAAGACTGTGGAGACATACGAAGCGAGCTTGCGCGGCTTCGTGCTCCTTCTCGGCCTTTGCGAGATCCGCCTTGAACTTGGCTTCATCAGGCTTTTCAGGTCGCTTGTGACCGACATCGGTGGCCGCAGCAGCCTGGGTGTCGGCCATTGTTGTAAAGTGGATAAATAGAGTACCAAAGTAGAGTTACCGGAAGACGGGACAGAGTGGTGCGTAGTCGGGGATATTTATATTCCTCTATCCATGCTAGAAGAGCATGACAGTGGAGGGAACGAAAGACTGAAAGAATGCTAGAGACAGTTGATGTAGTCCGCCAGGTGACGACTGACAAACAATGAGGGCGGTATGAACGGTTTACGTGTGTTTGGTGAAAGTGACAAGGAGGGTGTGAAGGTGAGAAGGGACCGTTCCTCTCTGTCGAGTCCCAGCTGCAACATTTGGCGGAGAAAATTGTGGATTTAACGACGTTCTTGCACATCACATTGTGTGCAATTCACCGTAGTTCTGCATTCTGCTGCCAGGTGGCTGGCCGTAGATATTTCGTCAACGGCCATGTCGAGCACCGTAGTCTAGCAGGGGGCTGACGGGTCGTCTTCTCACCTAGCCTCTTACCACTCTCGGGTTACAGCTCCAGTCATATATAAAACATCGACCATACCCCGAACGGCATTGCCTACGGAGTGCCCTGTGTGTCTTCAATGGTCGCTCCGTGACCATATGGAGGAGGCGAGCCCTCAGCGGCGGCAACGCGTGTCAACCAACCCCAGTATGGAATCCAGCTCGTGAAGATCGGCCAGCGGGATGGCCCCAGATCGTCTATGCACAGCGTCAACAATGAGGGCACACATAAAGAGGATGAAAGGGGAATTTCCAATAAGTTGCACATACCTCGACATCCTCAGAAGCCTAGAGCATCCCATGACGGAACAGTCACTTCCTTTGAGCCAGTGTCCATCGTGGGGCTCGTCACGGTGCATTTGGATTGTCCGCCTACTCGCCAAGAGACTTACCTCCTGATATCGGACGGGTCATTCTCGTCAGAAAGGACATGCACAAGACCTGGCAACTTGACCTATAACCTGTTCCCAAATCTGTCATGGGAATACTGCCCATCATCCTTGAAGGCGATATCCGTTCCGGCCTCGGTCGTCTCACGGTGTGGGAACTCCACTCTCGTCTTCCAGGACCCTGACCTCCAGTGCTTCTGATAGAAGTGCACACTGGGTCCGACATGCGCCGATTTTGTGGAAGAGCTTGGGGTCGATGAGATGGGTGGTCCATTACCATGTCTGATTGTCTCCTTCTCTGAGAAAAATGCATCCTGTGTCAGCATGGTCAACGTTTTCAGTCGTGTGGTCCGACGATTTCGCACCTCCAATGACCATGACATATGGACTCCAGTGGTGGCGGCTGACCCAATGGCGAGATAGACAACCTGGTGACGTTTGGGCCCTTGCGTTTATATTGTAGACGCAATCGCATATGTTGTTGAAGTGCTCATCGACAGACACTTTGCGCTGGGGTTTGTCCTCCAAAAGATCTTACCTGGGCAACCTATGGCAACCACAGCTGGCTGTCATCTCCCGACCACTCCTGTCGCGTCCTGTCCAACAGTGACCGGAGCCCGCAAGCCTTCGTTGCGGTCTGATGTATGGCATAGATGAAGGGACACTTCTTCTTGCAACCGTCTAATCGGTATCTTGGACCTGACTGGGATCTGTGAGGATACGGAACGACACCAAGCTGTATGTTACCAATTCTCCCGTTCCCTTATTTACAGTGGTGAAGTGGTGCAGACCTTGGGTGGCCAGGTTCTTGCGGGCATGGCTAGCCCGGCTAGACGTAGGGTGATGAGTGAAGGTGCTGATTCTTCCCGAGAGGCGCCTTCTAATTGCCTAGCAGGGCAACTGGGCTGCTCGCTAGCGACTGTGGCTGATCTGGAGAGGCAAAGCAGATAGGACACTCGTCGGGGATCCTGCTGAGAAGATATCAGGCACGGTCCGCGCATTGACAATCCAGAGTGCTGGGATCTGTGTTACGGACAAGAGCCATTTACAGCAGTGCATGGGCTGGAGACTTACCGGTCGCCATGCCATAGGACTGGATATGGATCTTCGAACTCAAATCCAGAGGTAGGCGAGGTATGCTTGAGAATGGCCGCGGTAGAACGAGTGGGTGGAGAGGTAGGCATGACATCGTCTGCTAGGTGTATCAAGGTAAGCATTGCTCAGTCAATCAAAATCACAAATGTCCGAAGGACAGGAAAGAGGAGGTGCTTATTTCACGTTGTACGCTGTTCTTTCCCGACCTTATTCCTCACTCTTGTAGGGTCATGTCTCAATTCACAAGCCTCATCACAGACAACGCCTGTCTTCTCTTTTCACGGCCTTCGTGGGCACCTGTCGTCAAGGATTTAACCGTTAGCCACCTCCACCCTGGTTTTCCGCATCTCTATCGCCACTCTTCCCAACTGCCTCGAAATCCACGATGGCTACGCCCCAGACATCGATACCCTTGCACTGGCACTTCGCATGAAGCTCCCTCTGACGAAGCGTCCTCAACCAAAAGCCTTCACCCCCGCTGAGCTTCGTTGGACGAGCTATACACTCCTCTCCGGTGAGACCCAAGTCAAGGAAGTGAGCTGCATTGAAGAGCCTCCATATGGCCCAGCACAAGGAGTCACCCGTCGCAAGCTAAAGCCATCTCGACCACTTGCCATTCTAGCAGTCAACGAACAGATCAGGGCCGAAGCACTCAGCGTAGCAAATCACCGTCCAATCCACCTGCAGATCTATGCCCCTATTTTCCCATAGAGCCTTTCAACCTGCCAATGCCAGTACCTCACCAGCAAGTCCAGTCCATCATGACCAACAAGCCTTTCTGGAATTTTGACGAAACCTTGCTGTACGCGGACATATCGCAGCACCATAATATTGGCCTCATCAGATCGGAACGCTTGCTGTCAGATACCCCCTCCCTGATGGAATCATCATGCCACATCTGATAAATGGGCCTAAGGTTCAAGCTCCCGCTTTACATCTTCGATCGTTGCAGCCAACGCCTCGACCCAGACCCGAATCTGCTGGCCAGCTTCCAGCCTGGCCACCTGACCATCCAGCACTGTACAGATTCCACGAGCGATACCTCCACCCCATTATGGGGTTCGATCTGCAGGCTGTTATCATTGATGGGGCGGATTATGAACCTTTGCTGCATCCTCAGCGATGCTGACGGAACGATCCAGGTGCTTTGTCCGGGACCGGATGAACATGACGGCAGTGGAGTCGGAGGCGTGCGAGGACAAGCCAAGGTCAGAAGAATATGGAGGCCGAAGCGCTGCGAAAGCTGCTAGCAGAGGACAATGAGTAGCGTTGCGATGGACGTAGTGGCGGCTTGCTGTGCTGGATTATGATGGTCGGCGTTGGGGTCGTTGAGTACAAAGAATAATGCGCAGCAGCATCAGCGGCAGCGGCAGCAGCAGCGAGAGGCAACGTGTCTACGAATCTAACTTCTTACACCCACAGCGTGCTTCCTGACCAGGTTGTCGTGCCCTGGAACCATCGTCGACTGCTATGAAAAACCGCTAAGCTAAACAACGCCACAATGCAGTCACAATCTCTCATCAATTAGTGTAGTGTTCGTTTTCATCCCTGTCGACCATAGGTGTCGGATGCGGCAGTACGGAGGAAGCTCTTTATCGCAATTTCTATCGATCCTCATTGTCCCCAAGGAACGGAGCGTTAGTTCTCACCTTCATGGATGGCGACCACAAACCGGTTCATCGATTTCACTCCCACTGGTTACCGTTGTCGACTGTGGTTATTCAGGGCGTACATGGTAATTAAATGTACGGAGTAAAACAGCCTTGAAGGGTAATGAAAGGAGGTAGCGGACAAACTATTTTCCGTCACGAGGCAGCGTTTGCGCTGCCGAGGTTTACCCATAATTTTTCTCCAAAGTCGTGCTCAGGCTGTCACTGCGTCCAAGGTCACGCATTTTTTCTCAATTCCTCGACAGTTATCTCTCTGACGTACTCACTATGGACACCGGCGGGCGATCTGAGTTGGCGGTGGAAGGCGAGAGAGAAGTGACCAGGTTATGGCGGACGTGGCGAACAGTCTTGGAGATGCTGAAAGATCGGGTATGCGCTCGTGCAAGAATGGGTGGCCTTCGAGATGAATGCCGGTTGACCTGTATCTCTAGGGCTACGAGATATCAGCCGACGAATTGAGTATTCCGCGCTGGAAGTTTCAAGAGAAATACACCGATAGCGCGACTGGTTTGGCTGAGTAAGTTCGGATCGGGTGAAACGACTTTCTCAGTGTTCTCTCTCTGACGATGGATTCTCTTACAGCCGGAGGTTGATGCGCCTTCAAGCCCTGCCCTCCGAGGCCATGATCAAACGCGACACTCCCCGTCCCACGAAATCCAACCCTGAGCCTCAAACCAAGGCCGGAACCATCTGGGTCGAGTTCAGCCCTGAAACCACCATCGGCATCAAACACCTCCGTGCCTTCGCCCAACACCTCGACAGCCACAGGTTCACCACCGGAATCTTCGTCACCATCGGCGCCGTCACAGCCGCTGCGCTGCGCGCCTTTGAACCGCTCCAAGAACGCGGCATTCACGCCGAGCACTTCCAAGAGCAGGACCTACTTGTCAATATCACGCGTCACGAATTGGTCCCCAAACATGTCCTGTTGAGCGCGGAGGAGAAGAAAGTGCTGCTGGACAGGTATCGCTTGAAGGAGACGCAGCTGCCGCGCATTCAGCTGGGGGATCCCGTGTCGAAGTACCTTGGGTTGAAGAGGGGTAACGTGGTCAAGATCATCCGCAAGAGTGAGACGGCGGGCCGGTATGCGAGCTATCGGTGGGTCTTCTGAGCGCACGCAGGCCTCTTTGCTTTGGAGCGCGGAGTTCCGGGGGGCGTGTGCAAGACTGGTTATCGAGAATGCATAGGGAGGTGTTTTGATTGCACCACACAATATGAGCGGCGAAATAGGCCCGAATACAGCATTCGGTTTTCTCTGCATAGTCCCAAAGATTCCTGCCTGTCGACCAACGCCCTCGTCTTTCCAAACAGCAAAATTGATCATTGGATCAACTTGATGTTTTGGTCTCGCTCAACGCCTTCTGCCCGATCCTGACGAGATCCTCATTCATCAACGGATCCTTCTCGAACCCATTGATCACCTGGTCCAACATCGCCGCCGCAATCTCAACCACGGTGATACTCGGCACCGAAACCACAACCCACAACAGCCAAGACATCAGCCAATGGAGAACGTTGCCCGGTTCCAGAATGAGTCCCGGCTTCGCGACCGTGACTTCCACCTGGCCGGGATGAGAGGCCGCAAACGCGAGGACTTGATTTTCGGTTTCTCCCTGCAGACAAGATTAGTACCGGCTGACTTGACTACGCCTTTATCGACATGACGAGGAGTGCCACTTACCCGCAGCAAGCAATACTGGGCCATGAGCCTGGGAGTTTTCGTCTGATCGCGTTCCGCCGAATCCCCGCTCATATACAAGAAGCGAAGGGGTGTTGACTTGGCCGAGCCGCGCGCCTCAACGATGGCTTGGAGTCCCGTCATGGTGTAGTCATGACACACCTTGACAACCTCTTCCCACGGCAGGGACTTTGACTTGTTGGGCGTGACCGCGAGTGTCCTGTCTCTCTCTCGGAGGCGTCAGACACGCTGCTGCACACGCGCGAAGAGGTACAGTCCGATCCTGTACTGTAGCATAGAATAGCGTATTCACCTACCAGATACATGCGTCCGCGCCGTCCAGCTGAGCCTTCACATCTTCCGAGTATTTCGTAAAATCTTCGATCACCACACTCTTCAGCTTCGATGTGTCTACTTCGACTCCTAGATTCTGGGGCACCTCGACGGGTCGTCGCGCCAGTGCTACCACGGAGGTTATTTCGCGGCTGGCTAGACTCTGTCGGATTAGTTCTGTTGCGACGAATCCTGTTCCGCCAACTATGAGCAGCTTCATCGTCGGTGAAATAAGGTCGTGGCCTATGGTGATGGTGTCGGTGTCGGTGTTGGACTACATCGGCGTGGCCGGTGTCGAAGAAGCACGATCGTTCTGATCATGCTCAATAGTGATGCCTGAGGAAATAAGACAATCGGTGGGACCCTGTGTCTGGATATGGGGGCCTTAATGAAAGGGAGGGGTCATGAAGTTTAAGTGCATCCGCCAAGTACCTAGGTACGGAGTATGTATCCCAGCTATCTCCTCTTGTACTCCGTACTGTCTATGTTAAAACATCTCAGTTCAGGGATCGATAACCGCTCGTCAATGGCGATGACGAGGTACGACCGGGTGATCACCTCCTGTCCTTCAGCCAGGCCCAGCTTCATCGTCACGGCAGCAAACGAATGCCGCTCATACGCCGGTCAGTGGCCATATCAATCCTCTCACTGGAGAAAAGGTGGGAACGAGTCGGTTGACCGTGCACTTCGCCTGAGCTCGACCGATTTCTGCCTGCAGCGATGGCCCTAAGCTCGAGTGAATCCAGCCTTACAGTAGGAGATGTTGCGCCAGGGTTCGACACCGTCAGGCCAGGATGACATCGGGCTTTTTCCGAATCCAGAGGTTCAGTTGAGGAGTGGAAGGGGTTTTCAGTACATATATAGGTCGGGACGACAGCAAGAACAAGGTTGAACGCTTTCCACGGAGGCCGGCAATGGCGCTGCTCCATGTACCTCTCGAAGCCCGCTGCGTTGGTGATTGCGGTGTTTGCAATTGCATTTGGCGATGTAAGTCCTCCATTCTGCACGTTGCTCAGTGCGGCCATTGACCACAGTTTGGCCTCAGAGCCCGTTTGCATCTCGGTATATCGACTATTTCTCCATCCGCTTGCAAGATACCCAGGGCCTGATCTTGCAAAGCTTACAACGTGGCATTGCGCATACCACAATTCCGTTAACGAGGTGTACGTTGATAAAGTGCGACTCACGCAGTCTATGGTACGTTCACGGCGTGTGAGCGTTGCATGGATGGTGTAGCAGAAATTGACACAGTTGGCGGAGGCGACTTCGTTCGATACCGGCCAAAGAGACTTTTGATTAAGAGTGCGAATGGGTTTCATGGTATGTTATTCCACCTGAGGGTGCAGAAGTCATGCTGAGTGGATGACGGATATCTGTGGCCACAACAAGAACGTTACCAAATCCAATGCCTACTCTTCACTCATACTGTCCGACCTAAGTTTGAGGTATGCCCTCCGCGTTCGCAAATGACGAGTGATAGGTCAAGGCCTCACTGAGCCTTTCGTTCGAGGCTACGAACCCATCATCAAGGACAACATTGACACGCTTTGCAAGACGTTGCTCAGCGGAGACGGACAGATCGCTTCCTGCACGCAAGGGTTGAATACATTGGGGCCCCAGGATGGGTATTTCGAAGTTCGGCATGACCATGACCGGAGCATGACAGATCCTAGAAAGGCTGAAAGCACTGACAGCGCGGGCGGCAGTTAACCATCTCTCGTTCGACATCATGACCGACGTTACGTTCAGCGTCAGGCGGCATCTGATTGAAAATCCTGGCCTCCCGTGTACCGCTGGATGACAGCTTGCATTGAGAGCATGATGGACCGCGTTGGCATCCTCTCCATGGTCCCCTGGATGTGGTTGTGGGACTATGCTTCCACTGGCTGGTCTGACCCTCGGGTATGGTGGCATATCTACTTAAAGCTAGAGAATGATCCGGAAACAGGAGGCGGGCTGCCACACTCGGAACTCCACTCCGAGGCAGGTGTACTCATAGTGACTGGTCAGTGCTCTGCTCTGCTTTACAGAAACCTCTCGATGTTGACCTGAAGCCTAATTAATGTCGTCCAGGTTCCTATACAACTCGGTTGCCCTCGCAGGCATGTTCTTCTACCTCTCTCGCCACCATTAAGTGTACGCGAGACTTGCCCACGAACCACGCACGACCTTCTCGTCCGTGTCTGCCATTCGTCAGAGGGCCGAGCTCCGCTCCGCTCCTGCGTCCACCTTCAGCCCGTCATCGATGAGACTCTGCGAATCTGTCCTCATTATCAGCGGCTCCCCGACGTACAGTCACTCACGGCGGACAAAGTATCAACGGCCACAATATCCCTGAGGGCGCCGGAGCCGGCACGAGCATGTACTCGCACCTGAACAACCCGGCCTATTTCGGTGAGCCTTACCGTTTCAGCCCTGGCCATTGGTCGAAAGCGCGTAGAGTATCGACATCAAATGAAAGGCCTGAGCCCCCTGCCTGTTTGGCGCGAGGATGTGCGCTGCGAAGGACACTGCCATCGCGGAGTTGCTGGCCCCGACCGCACAGGTGATTTTCACCATGGATTTCAAACCTACTTCCGGGGCCTGAGGGCAAGCTGTGCCAAGGCAGGATCAGTACAGGATTCGGAAGGGAGAGGCACGAGGAGTATCAGCTGCTCTCGCACTTTGTGACCGTGGACAAGAGAGGACCATTGCTGCAGTTCAAACACAGAGACAGTGGAGGCACAGGCACGACTTGAGGTCAAACGCCGCGACAGTGTGGGAACAGGCACGACTTGGGTTGAATTGAACAGATGAACGCATCACAAGCAAGGCAAGCGAGCGACATCATCATCATCTTCTTCAGCATCGCGAGTAGACGCGCGACACCATCGTCGACATCGCCGATATCGTCGACATCGTCTCGTGGGATTAGTGACTCGCCAGCAGCGGCGCCGGAACCGATGATGTCGCCCGCCATCGACGGCAAGGTAGGTATTAATCTATATCTTTGTTCTTTCCCTTCCCTTCCCGCAACCATTGTCACGACTTGTTTTCTTTGACCCTTTCACTTCCACTCTTATCTTGTCGCTTCACATCACATCACAGCACATCACATATCACATTCAATCCGACTCGATCCGCGCACACCTGAATCCTATCCCAGCAGCAAGGACTCGCTAGCAGCATCCATCCATCCATCCATCCGCACACATTACTAGACGACGGCCGCCCTCCTCAAACACACAAAACACACGTCAGAACAGCGTAAGTGCCGCATCGTATCAAGCTGGAGACATGTCGTCAAGACCGTGGGCAGAACACACTGGATTGGGTGTCCTGGTGGACGCCCTGTTTACACTACCTACTGTTCGTTGTTCACATCAGATCCTAACACTCTTCTTGCAGTACTCCTCCTCTATCATCGCCAACATGTGTGTCATCACGTACACGCGCTTCCTGTGCGGTCACGTGTACCGTGACTGCCGCCTGTGCCATGACGACTTTCGCGAGCGGATGAGACTGGGTTGCTGGAGCGGCAACTGGGGGTATCGCCGCGTAGCGATCCCGGAGAAGTGTTGGTGTGCAAGAGACGGGAGGGCCGGGCCAGCAGATTGTGAGCGGTGGGCGTTGAGCGTTGAGAAACGACATGGGAATGGGCGGGCAGATTCAAATGAGCCCATCATGGCCCTTTCTAACCATCCGCGCCTACCATGCCTACGAGGGGACGTTTCTACGGCACAGTCGAAGCCAAGTGGCAAGTGGCAAGTGGAATCATACATAATTAAGCCAATCCACGCCACGAATGCATAGCATAGCGTATAGAGCATGGCGCATAGCATGCATAATTAATCAGCCCCCCTGTCCGTCCCAAGTCCCCCGAATCCAAACACTCTCCCACTCTTGTCGGCGACTAACCCACAGTCACGTCGTTATATCGCGGCGTAATGAGACTCCAGACTTCATTCCCGGCCATCTGGTACTCCAGACCCTCCAGGTAGGCGGCGAGGGCGGGGGACTGGTTCTTGCGCGTGACCTCGTCGACGAGCTGTCTGTGCCGGACCTCCCACTCGCGGCACATCTGCCACAGGATGCGTTTCGCGCCCGGCACGTCGACGTTGGCGATCAGCTGCATGATGGGCACGGACGAGCACAGCGCGCCGCCCTCGTGGCCCCGCGCCGCGATGCGCACTTCCTTTTCGTAGCTGCAGATGTCGTTGACGACCGAGATGCTCTTGGAGCAGTTCTCCTCGACCGGTCTCGCGAGCTCGAGCTCTTCACTCGTCATGTGCAGACCCATTGAGAAGCGCATGATTGCCGAAAGGAAGCTGGAATGTAGAGCATGTTAGTCGGTACAGTGCTTGGACCAGGTTAAAGGGGGGGAAGTCAGAAAGGGCGGGTAAACCACTAACGCCTTGCCCACGTCTTGCTCGCGGTACTCGAAATACGTCTGCAGATCCATCGGCTTCAGGCGCTGTTTGTCGACCTGGGCGCGCATAAAGACAAACGCCGGCTCCAGGACTTCGTCGGCCAGCTCCTTGTCGTGGGCACGCATGCTCTCCCAGATGTCGTACATCATGTACTCGACCGGGATGGATCGGTCGGGCTGTTCATCGCCCCGCGCGAGCCGCATGAGCTTTTCGTTGTAGATGATGCCGTCGTCGAGGGACATGTGGTCGAGGACGTCTGGAAGCAAAAGGGCAGTTTTAGTTCAACAACGAGGCAAGCAGGCAGGCAGGCAGGCAGGCAGGCAGGCAGGCAGTTGCCAGATCTGTGAGCAAGGCTTCAATGCCGCTGCGTGACGCTGCAAAACTCAAAGGTTCGACCCACCATCTGTGAGAAAGGTAATGGTGATCAGCTTGCATGCAAACGCAATTCTATCGTCGAGGGCATTGGCGCAGTACAGGCACGTCACCCGCGGGATGCCTTGGGAGAGGAACTTCTTGCGCGTCTTCTCGTCCTTGAAGGGCCAATGCTCGGAGAAGTAGGCGTCGACTTCTTGGGTGACCTGTTCGACGAGGGGATGGCACTTGGCCGTGAGGATAGATGGTTGGAGTCCGAAAGGGGTGTTCGCGTGGGATTGCGTTTGGTCCTCGACTGATAGTGAGCCCATGCTGGCTGTCTATGGGTGTTGGAGGGTCAATGCTCGACGGCTGTCTGTCGATCAGCAAGTAGATAGGAGGAGGTATTCTTATAACAATGTATACTGCAATCACCAGGGCAGTGGGTGTTCTGAATGCTGGACCGAATAGACTGAGCCAGAGCCAGAGCAGAATCAAGATGGCAATCAGAATCAAATCACAACCACAGACACAATCGGTTGCCTTCTCTTATCTCGACCAGAAAGAGCACATGGGCGAGAAGGATGATTTGATGGTTCGCTCATGGGTGGCGCGTTGGGAAGCACTTGCAACTTAGGGTCAGTACGTTAGTGTGATAGTTTTGCAGCACTGCCGTTCATGGGCCGCCGGTGTGAGGGAGGCTACAGCATCCTCGCTGCGACCCGCTTTCTCTGCAATCGACTTACATATGGGATTCTCGCTTGCTTGCGCGCTTGCGTGAGGACGTGTGTGCGGGCCTGTCTGGCTGGCTGGCTGCTGCCGGGTTGTTTGTTTGGCTGTCTGATCCACTGGCGCCATACCGTAGCCAAATGGCCGACATGATCACCTGCGTGGGCGTGGGCCACAGGATCAACAGCCTGTGTTGCTGTACATGACTCGCAAATATGGCGGGGGAGGTACTGATCGTAGAAGTGTAGGCAGTGCTCTGTATTTCCCGAACCGTCCCGCGTCAGTGGTCATGGCCATGGCTTCGACTGGGCTGGCCTGGCCTGGCCGATACGACCGACTATCACTCTCTCTCGGTCCTCGCGTAATGAACGGCCCACCGAACGATACTTCAGCACTGACTCTGCTCCCCGTTCTCGCTCTTGCTCGGGACGAGCCATGTACCGCCGTGGATGTCCTGGCGCTGGAATGGCACCACGACTACTCGTCCCGTTCCCTAGCTCTAGCTCCATCGTCCGTTATCCACGGCAAGCTCAACGCCTTTACTGTGGGCCCTCGTGCTGAATTCGCCGACCAAGTGGACCAGATCATGGACGCGGAATTGGGGCGCTTGCTTGCGTTCTCCGTGGAGGCGGACGTACACATTACAGAGTACACGAACGGTCGATCCCGTATTACAGTACCCGGAGGGTACATCCGTGTGCTGGGACTGTGGACTGCCAGTACCTCGTACTCGTCCTGTCCACTGTACAACGCATTGGCCTCGGACGATGATCGGGCAGCCCAAGCCGTTGGATCCGCATAATCCGCACGACCTGCAGCCGTTGTGACGGTCTATGTGACGGTCGATTGGTCCATCCAGCCCTCCATGGTCCCCATTCTCTGGTGCCGGGCTTTTCTGGCGGGGATATGAGCCGCGATAAGGGTAGGGTATGCAGGTAACAAGGGAGGTATGCAGGTGCACATGCAGCGTCGCAGGGAAGCAGAGAAGCAGGGTGCAGGATGACACAGTACTGGGTACTAGGGTCGGGTCGTCGTCGTTTCCAAGACTGGCGGAGGTTAGTTACAGTACTTGCACATACGGACCACTTACCTTGGGCTCGGCTTACCCGGTTCCTCGTTCGCTGTTGTATGTACTCCGGAGATCACACCACATACCCAGGCTGTGAGTCTGGGGATCCTTTCTCTACTCTCTTCCCTTCTCCTTCACAGTCTCCACGAGAAACGCAGCAGGTCCGGTGCCGAATGCCAACTGCTACCCTGTGCAAACAAAGAACATCACCGTCGGTTGGATGCAGAAAGTCGGGCCCCCGCGGATCCCACACGCAGCTTGCCCAACGCGGAGCAAGCTACCGACAATTATCTGGGAACTAACCAACATCACTAATGCAATGGTCAATCCGCCTGAGGGAAATTCCCAGTGCGGTACGCCGTTCTTGGTTAACAGAGACGAAGTAGTGTGTCCTTGTAGTGCCCCGTGTCGACGGTAGTGTCCTTGTCGTGCGCCGTGTACACAGTAGTCTCCGTGTAGTGTCCTCCTCTTTTTCTTCACCTGCAGCTTCGTCCCCATTTACACACATACAGACACTGAGAGGATCAAGCTCGGCGGCGGTGGCGGCGGCACTGCTACTGGTGACTGGTACTGATACAGTCCCGCCAAGCTGGAATTGACCGATGGACGGTCCGGGCCCCTTCGTTCCCTTCTCTTCTTTCGTGGCCGCCGCGGCCGGTTTGTTTCCACCAATATGCGTGGCCGGCTCCACGCCATGCATGTGCCTCTGTATGTATGCATGCACGCAGCATGCAGATGGGCAGGTTGGGAATTGGAATTGAGAACTATGTGGCTCGAACCTCGGCCCAGTGCCACTTGGTGAGTATGTACCCAACACGCTACAGTATGCGAGTGAACGAGTGAGTGTGTAAGTGACTGACTGGATCCTGCAACGCTTGGGCTCTTCATTGCGGGACGAGTCTGAGACCGATCTGCAATTACTCCGTTCGTCACAGTATCTCGGACGGGTACTCCATCCATAATCCAGTCCCATTTACTCAGTTGCGAGCGTCGTTAAGTCGCCCAGCGATGATCCATCACTACCGGAGATAGGATGCAGTGCTGGAGGCTGGATCCGGTTGAGTGCACACCGCCGGAAAGGAACACGGCTCGCAGCTGGACTGGACACAGTAGTCTCGATTTGCTCCCGTCCTCCCGACAAGCCAAACCGTTTGTTGGAAGTGCGAAGTACCGGAAGTCATACAAGCACTGGATGTGGATATGGGTGTGAACATGAGCTACCGGAAATATTACCAGCACTGGATGTGGATATGGATGGGAGGACGGGAACATCACGAGCATCGGTACTAGTACCAGCACCAGCAGCAGCTCAAGCACCAACACCAGCACCAGCACCAGGACTAGTACTAGTACTAGTCCTAATACCAGCGAGTGACTGGAGCGACTGAGGCGATACCACAAAGTACAGCAAAGACAGCACAGCAAAGACAGCACAGCACACACCGGGTTCCTTAGCGGCCACACAATCACATAGCGTACATACGGAGTACATAACTCCACGCCTGCCGTGACAGCCAACCAACGATAAGATCCTAAGATCCCTCCCTCTGCTTGTACCGTGGCGGTAGCCTCTTCGCTCACAGCTCGTCAGATAGCACACAGTGACTCGTTATGCACATGCTATGCTATGATATGCTACGCCCACGGGATCCTTACTTGATTTACCACTGAAGGATCAGCAATTAGCAAGCAGCGATCCTTCTTCTTTGCAATCTTTTGTTTTTGAGAGCGTCGTGCTAGTTCGGCTGCTGCCTACCACTACATACTACGTACCGCCCGCAGTTGCCCAGACACAATCCTTCCGACCGTTTCGCGCATTGCCGATTGCGGACGACCGACTTGAGCGGAGCGCCTCACCGGGGGTGTACAGTCTTCAACAGATCAGCGACAAGTCAACCTACTCGGCCGGCCGACTGACACGCCCATCTCGTCCACATCGACGACATTCCGAATTACACACCATGGACGTCTCTCTCCTGTCGGCATTGCGAGTCCTGGCCATCGGGGTATGTATGTGTGCCCCCCTGGGGGGGTTTTAAACCCCTTTGTGACCAAAACCGAATGGGTGACTTACAGTAGAAACAACATCCGTAGCTAGGGATCTGGTTCCCCCTGCACATGATATATAACCTGTATTTCCACCCGCTCGCGCGATTTCCCGGACCGTTCTGGGCGCGGACGACGCTGTTCTGGCGCTTCTGGCACGATCTCACAGGCCTGTCACATTGGACCATCCAGGACTGTCACAGGAAGTATGGCGATGTGTTCCGCGTGGGCCCGAACGAACTGTCCTTTGCCTCCGTCCAGGCGTACAAGGACATATATGCGGCCAAGGGGCCCAGGCCATTGAAGAGTGAATTCTACGACATGCTGGGCACGGGCTTCTCCGAGTCGTGCGTCGTCACGGAGCGAGACCACAAGTGGGCGTTGCAGAAGAGAGCGCTCTTCACGTCCGCCATGTCGAGCAAAGCGCTGATGGAGCAGGAGGTGGTCATCCAGCGGTGCATTGACGGCTTCGTCGAGAAGCTTGGGAAGCTCGGCGGCGGGCCAGGCGGCCTGGATTTGACAAAGTGGTACATGATGCTTTCGTTCGACATCGGCGGCGAGATGGCGTTTGGAGAGTCCTTTGGCTGCGTCGACGCGGAGACCTCGAACCACTGGCTTGACACCATTTTCGCTCATCTCCACGCCATTTCCATCATGGATAACATCCGGCGCATGCCCCTGGTGGAAAAGACGGCCAGGCTGATCCCCACGAAATGGACGACAGGGATCCGAAACCGCATCACTGGCTTTGCGAGAGAGAAGAGCAAGAGACGGATCGAGAGGAGTGGCGAGACTGTGGACTTCCTCTCGAACGTGGTCGAGAAGGTCAGAAGTGGCAAGATCTCGCACGAAGAAATGGCAGCTCATTGCTCCATCATCGCCATAGCGAGCAGCGAGACGAGCGCCACATCGCTGGCAACCATCACGTATTTCCTCCTCCGGTCGCCGGCGGTCCACAACCGGCTGAAGGCGGAAATCCGAGACCACTTCAAGTCGCCGCAGGAAATTGACATTGCTTCGGCTACTAAGCTACCGTATCTGTTTGCAGTCATCGAAGAAGGTCTCCGCATTGTCCCGACCACGACGGTAGGGTTCTTGCGTAGGGTGCCTTTCCCAGGAATTGAGGTCGACGGACACTTCGTCCCCGGCGGAGTAAGTCATGGCAATTGCTCCCCAGTAAAGCACTGGCTGACAGTTTCTGCAGACCGAGGTCTCCGTAAGTGGCTGGACGACAGCAAGGGATGAACGATACTTTCATGATCCGTTGAGCTTTAAACCGGAAAGATGGCTTGATCCGGAATGCAAAGATGTGAAGGAGGCTAGCCAGCCGTTCTCGTTAGGCCCAAGATCTTGTCCAGGGAAGACGTGAGTGCCCACCGGCCAGAGGCAATCCTGTCGAAATAATGCTAATCGGTGATGTTTTGCAGGTTCGCATATGCTCAAATGTCAGTGGAGCTGGCGAAAATGATATGGACATATGATATGGAATTGGTCGATCCTTCACTGGATTGGGAAAAACAAGTTCGTCTCCATTTCGTGCTGTGGAAACCAGAGCTGTATGTCCGCTTCATAGAGCGCAAGCTGTCGTAATGTAGGTTGTTGAATGGTCGATGGCGAGAGTTGTTCCCACGAAATCGCTTGACATGCCAAGCTTGAGTCTCTGTTGTTTTCGACACCTACTTCGTCTGGTGGCATGGCATCTGATAGCGTACGCGGCTCGGGGCCAGTGGTACGAAGCTTTCGATGGACAGAGCACGGCTCAGAGAAGTCTCCGGCCATGTAAACGCTGTGAACTAGTCATCTAGTGACCAGGGCCTCCTGCTACCGTTTGGTGGAACCAGCATGGCAGCACCATCTTCAGCCCCGACTGATCGTACGGGAAACTCATGGGGATCATGTTGAGTAGAAGGCGGCTGGGATCCTCTCCGGGGCAGATATTATCTCCGTGTGGAAAACTGTTGGAATCAGATTGGCCCTTCCACCGCGGCCCAAGACCATATTTGAAATATACTTCGACGTCGTCGCTTCGTGAGCATGGGGTCGCTTGCGTTGTAGGGAGAACAGAACAGGCCGCGGATAAAGCCTATCGAGTTTTTGAGAAAGCAATTCCCCTGGGAGTCGTTGTGTCCGAGGAGTCGAAATAAGTCTTTACTCTTTATACATCGGGACGGCCCACAAGCTCCCGTACGGTTCGCTGGACAAGATGCCTCGTAGGCAAGCAGAACATCTGAATCGAACGTCCGATATATAGGTCGGTACTTCGACAGCTGCCCGACAAATAAAGACATGTCGACACGTATTCCCAGTTCTAGACGGCTATCGCAGGAGAAGGGGATGGCAAATGCCAGTAGAGAAGACAGCGGGTCGTCCTGTATCCCTCTAGTCCTGCAGTATTCGAAGCTGCTCGCATCCTCCTTCCAAATACCAAGGGAATAGCTGCGCCTGGCATTCTTGTAGCCTGGTGTTCCGGGCTGCGGTACGGAATATCGCCCGAACAGGCCCACGGTCCCGTTACAGTAGAGTGACGGCTTCCCCGACATCGCCGGGTTATTGGGGGGCTGCAGCGCTACAGTACTGCTCCTGTACATACTGTACCAGCGGTCCGTTCTCCCTGCCGACTTGCTTGCTGATCCTCACCGCGCGCGGCATCTGCTGTCGATGTCGACACCGTGTTGGCGTGCCGCCACGAAGGAACGAAGGACGTAATACAGTAGTGATGTGCCGCCCGCTGTCATGCTTGCAGCATAGAGACAGGACAAAAGGTGGAGGGAGGGGCTGTCGTATGAAGGTGCGAACGATACGAGGGGGAGGGCCGGAGACCTAGAGCTGGATCCAAAGGGTCCGTCACAGGCGCAGATGCAGAGACGAGTCCGAAGGAAGCTGATATTGTAAGGTGATGCACAAGTTGGGTCGTGGTTGAGCCGTGCCCCGAGGGCCAGACTTCAAGAGCTTGGAAATGGTGCAGCCCGCCGGCTCGTTTCATAAAGAATATATTCCTCTTCTGGTGGACCGAGGGGTGGAACTATTGCCGGCTACCTGCGAGAGCTACAGCATGCGCACGCACATCAAACTGGGATTTGTTAGGCACGGAGGACCGTCGGCCAAACATCACCACGTTTACCCAGGATCCCCGTCCAGTCCACATGACAGAACTGCATCAAAGAAGAAGGCTCAAATTCAAACAGCCCATATGCAGGCGTAACCTCGTCCCCAGCGCCGTCGCTCAATGGTATATGCAAAACACTAAAGACAAAAGCCACCAGCAAACCATTATTCCCCTAATCAGGGTCATTTCAACAAGCCACCCGCATCAGACAGAAACATCTCGTCGGGCCCGCTTGGTCGATGCGGCGGCACATCCTCCTGCGTCGAGGGCAATCGACTGCCCCTTGAGATTTTCCGTTTATCCGATCTGATTGGCGAACGGCTCGGGCTACTGCCCTTTCGGGGTGACCCCGTACCCGCAGAGTGCATCTCATCTTCCTCGCGTATGCGTAAAGGTCGGGTCAAAAGGCCACCAATATCTGCGAGGAAAGCCTTCGAGCTGGATCTCTGCGGCTGCGACTGAGACAAGCGGCGGGAGGTTTCTTGGATGGATGCCTGGCGAGAGCGAGAGATTGGGGATTCGTTGGGCGGAGCGTCCACTAGACCGCCAACGTCGAAAAAGCCCATCCGACTTGGTGTGTCGGGCTCGGTATATGCATTCCCACCTTCACCATGAAGGGGTTCGTCGATCTGGAGCCTCAAATTCCGCATTTTGATGTCGTCTGTCGATGTGCTGCTGAGAGTGTCCAAAGACGGCTTTCTACGCATCCGAGACGCTTCTGCAAAATTCCATTTGGATTGAAAGGGAGCATGTCGAATCTGTTCGTTAGAGTCGACGGGGACGGAAAGCGCCTTCGGAGGGGGGTTCGAAACCGCAACTTCGGCTGGACGGTTGTGATCCAGATAGACGCCTCGTCTCAGGGGTGCAGGCAAGGCGACGCCAACACCCCTTGCTAGATCCTCGTCAGAGCCCCAGTGATGGTGAGTCATAGACACGGCGCGGGTCTGAGTGTTTGTTCGAGCAGGGGAAATGCCATCGTCCATCGACGCAGCTCTGAATTTTGCTTTCTTGACCCCCCGGTCACGGATGAAGCTGCCGATGACGATGGCATTTGAAACCCCTGCAGCGGCGAGAATCTCCAGCGACGCCAACAGCGACCGATATTGCTGGGACGAGTGCCGAGAGATGGTGGACGGCACTCGGTAGGCGGTGATGGCGACGAGGATTATTGAGAGCAGGAAGAGGAGGATGAGGGAAATCTTTTTCGAGAATCGCATCGAGGACTGCCAGACCAGGGGAATCGGGAAGACGATCAGCACCACGTCGGAGACGATGTCGCAGACGCCCATGACGATCAACTGTACCAGTCCTTCTCGACAGTGGGCACCCGGGTCCGGCACAACCTGCCAGTAATGCGAGAAAGGTTGACACTCGGCTAGCGTCCCAACCACCACGGCGATAAAGGTGGCGGCCAGGAACCCATAGATGTATCGGAGTCCGACCTCGTACGACTTTGCCCATGACTTGCCGATGATGCGCTTCAGGAATTCTAGAACGGCGAGTTTCGCGATCCAGATGTATGCGGCGTAGAAGATTCGAGCGGCAAGAACCAGTCGGCTGCCAATCTCATGGTGATGTATTTGAAGAGCTGTCAGACCTTCAGTCTTTGTGTTATTGGTGCCCCATATTAATACCACATGTACAAGTGCCATTCGAATCATCAATGGTATTATGCTGTAGAACATGATCCAGTCTTCACGAAACAGTCGCTCTGTGCGCACCCATCGTCCAAACACGCGGATCAGGATGGCAGTGAGGGCGAACAATGTGCACCACCACGACACAATCAAGGTCGGGTTCATAGCAATCCGCGATTGGTAATCCGGCGGTTCATCGTGGTATATGCGCCGCTCAAGGGTATCGACGACAGCCATTTCGGCTTCGGCAGATCGAGCGTTATGGGGGTCGACTCGAGACTTTCGTCATAGCTCCCCGAGAGCGGTCGTCAACTCGTGTCTCGTTGCGTTCGACTCGGCAGCGAGGCCATCGACGTCGGGGCGCGACAATGCGGCGCAGGCGCAATCAGGTAGATAGGGTCCGTCGACCAACTCAATGAAACACGGAGGGAACCCTGGACGTAGTCGGGACGGTTTCCAAAGACGAAGAAGGTACGTAATGAGTGAGCGGAGGATTCTGAACAAGGCAACACGACGAGAAATGCTCGAATGTCATGACTCTGCAAGATACAGGATGGGGTGAAGGAGGTCTTGGACTGCGACGATAGCGGCTGGGACCTTGGAGATCTGGTCGCTGGCACTGGGTGCGGCAGCAGTGAGACCGCCTTGTGGTGGCGTGTGGGCTGTGGGCGCGGCAACTGATAGAGGTGCAACGATCGCTAGGCAAAGTGGGAGCTTGCACCTGACTGGTGGAGCGGGAGCAAAGGAAGCGAAAAATAGGGCCTTGGGGATTGCCTGGGGCAGAGGCTTCTGTGGCACGAACCACGGCCTGAGTGATTGGGGATGATGCCTATCTCAGTGAAGCGGGCGTGAGTGGGTAAGCATGGAGCCGCCAATCGCCCGCAGCGCCGGGTGAGAGCACTTGTAGGAGTGAGTCCCGTCACTGGTTCTGCCTTCGTCGCATTTCGCTCTGTGCCGGATCTTCCCTTATCTAGCCTTTACGAGAAGATAAGAGAGCACATGGAGCGGTGCTGTGTGGACTCAAAGCCAGACCCTCAGATTGGAGAGCACAAAGTCTGGCACCGGCTGGCCTGGATAATCTCCTCACGCCTCGGTAACTTACCTGGGACTCAGCCAGAGATAACAGCTGCTGCCTTTTTGAGGCCGGAGCGATCGTCTCGTATCTGGTTCCTGTGTACTGTACGGAATACCCGGTGTAACTCGTACTCTTCTGCGCAAATCATAAGAGCTCGGGCTTGGTGACCCGACTCACGTCTTGACTCTATACTATAACGGTACACGCGGCATTGTCGGCCTGACCAGCTGGTATCCTACGTTTTCTTGCATGCCTTGGTGCCTCAGAAGCACACGCTCATGTTCTACCTTGGGATTAGCTACAACGGGCCCTCCTGGAGCTTGGACCACCACAGTCCCAGTTTTGTGGATCGGCCGTTTCCCGTCACCGACCTGTCACTCGATTTTCGATGCCGTCTCAGTCTGAACAACGAACCTTTTTGTTCTGTGTTACCAACCGTGAAACAATGAATACTTTTGCTAATACACAGCTTGAGAAACAGAAAGTTCAACCGAGCCCCGGCATCATGCTGAGCTTCGCGCTTTTCTTTGTCTGTAGCAGTACCTTATACAGAAACTGAACCACCATAGAACAATGGAGCCGCCCAACACCGTGACCGATACTAGCGCTGTCTCGCCGACGGCCAGGGACAGGACGGAAACCGCCAGCGCCGCAAATATCAATGCGGCAACACACACGAGAGGGAGTACCAGTGCTGCGATAAGGTTCGTGGCACGATGAAGTTGTTTGTGCCAGGTATCTGTCCGCTCTCCCTCTCGTGCCGACCTCGTCTTGCACACATACAATGCCGCGAGCACGATACTGCTCAGACTCAAGTCCATTGTGAAAAGCAGCCAACTGATGGCGATGAATGTACGGGCTCGCTTAGGTGTGATATGTTTGTTCTCGGTCGTGTCAGGCATGGTCTGAAATATGCATTGAAAGGTGATTGACCCCCCGAATGCGGCGAAGGCCACCACGGCCGTGAAGAGTTGTTGGTAAAACTGCTCGTCGCCGCAGCCTGATGTAGAGCGCGAGGATCCAGAGCTCGTGGTTGAAGTCCCTCGAGTCGGATGAGGCCGAGAGGATTTGCATTGCGGCATGACAGGTTGGGACACATCAGAGGGAGATGAGACAAAGTCCTTGGTATCTGTCTTGGCAACCGCGACACCAGCGTTTGACGCCTTGTTGTCCTTCAGTTCGTCAAGGATGGCTTGAAGCAGGAGTTCAGACTTGGAGTGGCCCTGGTCAGGGAATATGGCTGTCCTTGAGCTCTGGTCACTCAGGCGACCCGGATGCAAGTACTGCATTTCTGTACCACCGGCCGCGAAGGCGAGTTGATCCATGGTTTGAACTGGCGGTATTACTGCTAGGCTTGTGCGAGTGATCAGGTTTGGGAAGATGGTGTTGTCTCTGGACAACAAGACACGATTCCATGATCGCTCTCGGGCTGTATAATATACTTGCTGGAAATCCTCCGTTGCCTCCTCAGCGTGTTGATGCCCAGACAAACCAATGGCCACATCACGAGAGAATTGGGCTTCTGGAAGGCTGATGAGGCTACCAACCTTGTCATCTGTCGAAGCAGCCCCCCTTACCCTGGTGGACTCACAGCGGAAAGACCCGGGGTTTCTAATCGTCTGGAGCCTCTGTTGCAAATAGTATTCTAGGGTGCACAAATCCCACACAAAGATGCAGAATCTGCAGCCACTCTGATGCATCGCCAGTCCACATGCTCTACGGTACCCAATGAAGGCGTAGTCAAGGCGGCAGCGACGAACAACAGCCTTACCACAAGGACGAATTTGGACTCGTAACGGGAGCCTGATTGGCTGAATGGCCCTCTTCCTGCATCTTTACATCGAGAGGTTGCCTAGAATAAACCCCGCCTCGCTTGCGGGCTCGCGGCTTTCCCTCAGCCTCAACGGAATTGGCTTGGAACCTCAGGTTCCTCGTGTTTTGCTCAAGGACCGTGCCATACAGAGCTTGTTGTGTGTCGAATAAATGCAAGCCTCGAACCCTTGCCGATATCCGAGACTTGCCGTTCGGACTGAGCAGATATTGATGATCAAAGGCGAAGAAAGATTGGAAAGTTGGAAAGACTGGAAACTTGCATCTTATGGTCTTGTCGATGATCGAGAACTCGAGGGATGTGTACACAACAAGTCAGTGTGAGGCCAGTCGTAGGAAATTGACTTTCCAAGCAAGGTAGTGTCCTTTCTGATGCAGTATATCCGTGATTTCGACGTGCTGAATTTCAGAAGTGGTCATCCCATTTCGAATCTGTATTCCAATGGGTTGCTGCTTCTTCGAAAGACAATCTATCGGGGGATTTCTCTCCCATCGGCCTCCACGATCTCGGTCGCAATACCCATTTCGAATGCACTCTCAGGAAGTGCAAACCGAGGATTTTCCGCAAAACAGATGTCAAAGGTCGTTTCGCTTCCAATCCTTATTCCGCTCTGTTCGAAGCAAAGCGGGCCCCAGAGCTCAACCCCGTGAAGGACCCCGCCTTGATGGAGGAACATATGCTCGAAAAGGCTCTCTTCACCGTCGTACGTGCATGAGGTCTCCCGTAGCATGACGCACATCAGGCACTTGTATAGACGTTTCTTCCTTTGGCTGCAGGCGAGGTGTGACTTGAATAGCAGGAGGGACCGCCACCGCAACTTGGCTGTGGAGTGCGCTTCGTCGTCAAAACGTGGCCGACCTCCTTCGTTGGCGGCGGGTATAGCAAATGGGCATTTCCGACAGTGGCATGTCCACTGCATGTTCTTCGCAGACAGTTGGAGGCCTTTCCCTAAGGTTCCTTGCTGCACATAATACGCACCTTTGCAGAACCCCGCCGCTGCCAGGACATCGATGGATGAAACCGTCGAGATTGGGCTAATCGGCGGAGTCATTATCTGTGGCGACGGAGCACCATACATTGGCCCAGCGGAAGGCGACATAGGCATCGATTGTGGAGAGAGGAAAGGTGAGACAACATGGGGGACAGGCCCAGCTGTCCGTGGAGAGGTGGGACTGGTGGTCTCGACGGTGTGGTCTGATGACGAGGCTCGCTGTAGAATCTTAAACACGCCCCAAGACGACTTGCGCGATAGTCGCGACGAGCCAGAAGACTTCTCGGACCCGGGCTTGTCACTGCTTTTGGATTCGAGCGTTGCACTGCGCTTGATGGACGGTTTGGCTGTGGAAACTTCAGCCACTTCCTTCATGTCGTCGAAGGACGGTTGTAGCACGTCTGGAAGAGGCTTCGTCTGCGAGGCGCGCGGTGAGGTCGAGACGTCGGACGCGGTGTTGGATTTGGACCTGGCCCGTTTCTGTTGGCGCAGGTAAAGATCGTTTAGGATATTGACCGCGCGCAGTCTGGCTCCTATCGCAGAGTCGATGCAAGGCTCGAAACTAATGGTGCCGTCATCTTTGCCAGCCAGCGTCAGAAACGCAGACTGGACTTCAATAGTCAAGTCTCGTAAAGCTCGATAAGCAATATCTGGGCCAGCGTCAACATATCCCTCCTCCAATCTTGTAACGCACCGGCGAGATAGGACTGACCATCGCCTTGTTCATAAGCCGCACCAAAACGTTGTACACCTTGTGCCTGAATCTTCTCGATCTCCCAGTGCCCTTCTTGGAGTGCTTCTTCGAGCTCGTCGCTTGGAGGTGGAGCGCCCCTAGCCTTACGCTGCTCCTTAATATTATCAACAATAGACCCGGCGTTCTTGTAGGCTGCAATGAGCGCTGTTACCGCGCCCAGCACAGCGGGACCAAGTTCCGCTTCGGACATGTTGAGCAGCTCGATCGACGGCTCTGGTACGCAGAAGCAGGCTCTACTTGCAGGTTTCGGTGAAGGTGGCGCTATCGTCCGGCTGTGGTCATCGTTGTCTCGAAGGGCGGGTTCAGTTGAAGCGCACGGCGGATGGGATTAGGTATAAGCGCAAAACCCTGTGACGAATGCTGCCATTTGAGTGAAAGGATGAGTCGGCAGAAGGTAGGGTGAGCAATGGAAATATTGAAACCGACCGGCACAGGCAGGCTGGCTGCCAGCGCGACCCGGCTCGGCTTGCATTTGGGATGTTGTATGCGCCATGAAAGGTTTGGAGGGAGCTGCTCGCTTTGTGCAGCGGGCGTCGATAGCCATGCTTGTTGCTAACCGACACGCATATGCGGGAGAGTCAGCCAATAGAGAAATGCTGGAAAGCTCGTGGCTGCATGCTAGCCACGAGTCCGTCCAGACGGAGGCGGAGCTGGACGCTGCGCCCGGTTCGTCGATAGCGTTTGGCGCGACGCCATCACCATGAATGAGTCAGGGACAAGCTTCGAGAGAGCTGTGAAGCGGAAACATGACCAGAATAATAGCATGCTCATCAGGCGCAAGACAGCTGGAAGTTATCTGTTGAACCCGCAAAATGGAATCAACTTGGCCTGCGAAGGGCGGTGGGAGGGCAATCGCGCCGATTGCAAGCGAGACGTGGCTTCCGAGATGGAGAGGATCCGGCACATGGCATACCGGGTCCGCCCGCCATCATCCATGCTCAGCCTCATTAGAGACCGCCTGTTCTCAGACACTCAGGGGGCTTTTAAATCCGCCTTCTTCGACTTCCAGAGGCGCTGCCTTGCCTCTGCCCAGTTATGTCTGCATTTTGAAGGAGTCATGTCCACACACTTGACCCGCTGATACCCAGGTAGGCACAGACATTCAAGAGGTACCAGGCCTTATCAATGGCGTCATGCAAGATACAGACAAGTCTTCCAACAATTCCAGCCTTGTTTGGCTTGGTCCGCCAATCTCATAGCTTCAATGTATACGTCCATCCAGACTCCCTTCCTCCACCCAGCCGGGCACCGACGGTCCGTCGACCCTACCGGATATAACGCCCCAGACCTGGGGAAAACCTCTCTTCAATGGCCCACCTTTGTGTGAGCTCCCTGGAATGGCGAAACGGGGAATTGCGTGCAAAGCAAACCCCTTCAACAATCCTTGCTGGATCAGGCTGAGAACCACAGATTCAATTTCAGCCAAGGTCGGTGACTCCTCTGGCTCGTCGTCATCAGGCGGATCCTGGCCGATGTATTCATCATGGTATTGGCCTGTCTCTGGGTCAAAGCCAGTCTCCTTGATCGCCTCGTCCATGCCTGCGAACTCGGGATCCAGGTATTTCTCTGAGGCTGGGTTGCGCGTGTTGACCAGTCTTGCCGGATTCTGCCTGTCCAACGCCCACCTAGCCCCGTACTGGACATAGTTCAGCTTCAAGAAGGGTACCTTCTTCTCCTCTCCTTTGTATCCTACGAAAAGGAAACATTTGCGGATCAAACTTCTCCACACCAGGATTTCGCACCGGTTCCGCAGCTGGAAAAGAATAGACCGCTTCAGGAACCACTGGCCGCATTCGCTCTCCAGGTCGAGGTGTCTGTAGAACGAGCCAAGGTCTCCGCTGCGAATAATCTGGCACAGAGGCGTGAATCGAGCTCCAATGTCTGCGGCTTCTGGACGTGAAAGGAGGACTGGTGTTGGGAACCGCCCAATAATAATGTTGGCTGCCACCAAGTAAATCAATATCAGCCGCCTGTGATTTACGGCCTGTCGATGGCACTGATCATATGCTGTCTGTAACACCTTTTGCGCTCGTAGGAAATGATTGTTGGCGAAATGGTATCGTCCAAGATAGTACAGGTATGTGACCCGCTGTGCCGCAGGGTAGAAGGAAAGCGGCGGGGACTGCGCCTCAATGCTGTTGAAAATCTGCTGCGCATTGCGCAGCTTACGAGATCGCATGAAGAGCTTGAGCGCCGAGTTTGCAGTCAAATAGATTCCGACTCGTCTGTCGTCTGGAGTAGGCCGCGAGGTGCGTTGCACTCCAGCGCTGCCGGACAGACATTTGATAAACGCTTCTCGCAGCACATTAGCCGCGTCCTCCACAAAGCTGACCTTTCCTGAACCTCCTTCCGTATCTTGCGCTTGTATGAGGCTGCTGTCTCGTATCAGAGACGGATTGCGATCTAGATTCGTAGCCACAGCCGCCAGCACCCGCGAGAACGAGAGCACAATAGGCAGCATGATGATGCCATATGTGCTATCCCCAAGCGCAATAACACATTGGCTTCACCTACAGTCAGCGCGGATTTGACAAGCAAATGATGTAACTCGCTTACCTGGTCAACTGCCGAATCTTCGTGGCTTTCGTCTGATTATCGGCTGTAGAAAAATCGCGGAGATACCGAAAATATTGGATGACACATTCTGAGAATGAGTTGCTGAACACTCCGAACTCTTCCTGTGGCAAAGATTGCTTGCATCTTGCGACGAGGGGCCCGTCACTGCCTGGCGGGTATCTCTGGTTGAGTTCTTGATTCAGGTCGGAGTATGGCTTCCGCCGCTCGGGGCTGAGGGCATCAAAGTCAAGCTGAATCAGGTCGGTGATCCGCTGTGCTGTCTTGTGTCGAACACTGTCCACTATCTCTGTAAGGAAGGAGTCGAGTACTGAGGCATTCGCCCCAAAGGGGGGCATGTTCTTCTACTTCGCTGCCAAATTGTGCAGGCGTCTGATCCAGAAGCGACCGAGAGGTGTTGTCTCGACAGTCTGGAATTTTGAGGCCGTCGTCTCATTTCAGCATGTCGTCAAAATACGACACCCAGCAGAGCGGAGTTAAAAATGCACAGCAAAGTAATCAATTGCCGAAGTGTCTGCAATTTTGTCTGGTTCACTGGTGTGTACCTAGGTACCTATGTGAGTACTGTGTATGTGCTTACTTGCAGCTGCTCGTTGTTCAAGGCGGCTTTCCTTTTGCCGAAGTTTTACCGGTCTACTATCTTACTCCTGCTGGGTGCCCTCAGTGCGGTACAGCTAAGTCCTTGATCAAGCAGCATCATCCTCTCCATCTGCCCATCTAAGTTATATCAACCTGGTGCGCATCCATCCATCAGCCATTCGTGGTGTTCGAGCTTGCAGAAATGGTCCCCAGAACCTGGAAATTACGGCGCAGCCACATTTCGAATGCTTTCTGCTATCGGACGGATTAGCTGAAAGTCAACTTTTGAACCCGGAAGATTCCCTCTTTCTCGATTCTGCAGAGATTGAGCGCCGGGTGCAGATATCAGTCCTTGTGTAGTTCTGAGCCCGCTTTGAGGAACGAATGTCCTCAAGCATAATATGCAAAAGGTCACAAGTCGCAGTGTCTGCAGATGGCTCTGTGGAATTGTTAGTGGCGCTAGCGCCAACCTGAGCGATATGACGGGTCCTGAACTTCAGAGGCAGGCCCATAGCGCTGATAGAGAGCTTGTTCGTGTCGATTGTGTGTCTGAATCGAGGCTCACTTCTCGGTCCCCAGGACCATCTTTTCTCTCTCACTGTGGCGAGGCATACTCCCCTTTTTGCTGTGTTTCCGAACATTCTCCTCCTTCCTTTTGATCGCCTTGAGCTCCTCACCTTTGATCTCGCCGGCTTTCTTGACAGTCTTGGGCACGTGCCTGTGCCGCTTGATGCGTCGAATTTCGGGCATGTGAGCATATCTCCGGATCAATGCCTGGTCATATTCGAGCTTCTGCCGTTGTCTGGCCGATTTGACCCCTTGACGGCTCGAGGCGTCAACCCGCCAGAGGCGGACATTACCATCGTCTGAGCCAGACAGAACGTAATTATTGTCGGGAGTGAAGCGACATGAAAATACTCTTTGCATGCGCTTAGTATGATACACGTCCCTTGAATGTCCTCGATCGCGATTCCATAAGCGGACTGTTCGATCATAGGAAGCACTGACCAGCTCCTCTCCGGTAGGGCTGAACTCGACGTCCATGACTGCGGCGACATGATCTTTTAGGACATTTAGTGCCCTATCGAGCTTTCTCATGTCGAAAATGTAGATGTTGTGATCCTCGTTGGCCGCGGCAAAATTGAATGCTTCCATGGGATTCCAGGATATAGCGTTGGAGGCTAATCGGAGAACAACTTTCGACAATGGTAAGGATGTGCGAAGATCGTAGAGAACAATTGCTCGATCGAGCGCGGCTGAGGCTAGGATGGATGTTTCAGTCTGATTGAATGCGACGGCATTGATGGTGTCAGTCGACGTTGGCCACCGCAGAACTTGTGAGGGGCCTGAGGAGGGTCGCGAGAGGTCATAGATAGATATCGAACTGGAGGCGGCAGCGAACGAAGGATGATCCCGATGGTGCGAAATGCTTGTGAAAGCCCCTTGACCCAGGTAAGTCGCCAGAGGGACACCACTCTTCTCGCTGGTGTAGGGATCCCATACTTTGACTGTTTTGTCAGTCGCACAAGACAACAATTTTCTTTCAGGAGTCCAGCATAGTCCCCGCACCACGTTTTCATGAGCCCTTGCGCTCCAGACTTCGTCCCGGCTGCTGAGATCCCATACTTTGACCACGCCGTCGCCACTGCCACTGGCCAATCTCTCCAAGGACCCCGGGTCCTTCGCCATAGAATAGACCCCATCCACATGTCCTTGACCCAATTGCCCTATAAAAGGAGCGGCGAACATGCGTTCCATCTTGACTGCATTAAGTGCTCTGGTATATTCCCTGGCACGTTCGAAAGGGTGCTGCGCTGGGTCGAGATTCCGTGGTTGCCGCACAGCACCTTCGCCCGGAGGCGCAGGCGGTCTTGTCAAAGACTTGATTTTCTATATGGAAGTTAGTCGTAGCATGGAACAGGATGTTGCGGCAGGCATACCATGTTGGGGGAAACATATCATTGACTCGAATGATACAGTCGTAGAGAGCATAGACCAACCCATATGTTCAAGTGCAGGAACTTTTCTGTGGGGAAC